TTTTTTGTCTTTTTGAGATAGGGTCTCACCATGCAGTTCAGGCTAGCCTTGAGCTCACTTTGCAGCCCAGGGTGGTCTCGAACTCGCCATGATCCTCCTGCTTCAGCCTCCCGAGTGCTGTGATTACAGGCATGCACCGCCAAGCCTAGCTTGCCTACCTTCGTATATAATGCACCTGTAAAATTTTAAGCCCTCAGAATGGCTCTCATGAATGTGTTTTATCTGGACCTGCTTTTCTGGGTGCTCTTCCTCTAGGGATGAAAGCAATTGAACAATCCCATTCCTTAAACAGCACAGGTTTGTTCTTTTGCTCACAGTAGCGACTCCATTTCGTGTCAGAGCAAAGAGCCATTCTAAGGAGGTGGTTTCCTCATTTCCAGCCTAGGTTGGGGCCTTTTGGGGAAGGGATGTGGTCCCACAGTGTCACCTGGGCTCATCCTGAACAGAATTGTGGTTCCACATGATTCTCCTGCTCAGCCTCCCCGCAAGGTGCCGGGATTACAGACAGGGCCCATAGCACCTGGTCCCTTCTGTGGGGCTCGGGGGTGGGGGGGTGGGGAGGGTTTGCTGAGGATTGAACCAGGGCCGCATGCCTGCTAAGCAAACGCTGTACCCCTCAAAGTGCAGCATTCACTGCCAGGAAGTAACCAAGTTTGACTGCTGCAGGGTGATGGGTTCACACCCAGCACCTGGGTGCTGACTTCCCCCCTTGTAGCATCCACAAAGAAATGATGTAGCTTATGGTGTGTGTGATTTTACAGGACAAAATCAGCAGAAGACGGGAGCCGATGACTACAACCTGGATGAAAATGAGGCGGAATCAGAAACAGATAAGCAGGCAGCCCTTGCTGGGAGTGACAGAAACCTAAATGGTAATGTCAGTGGTGGCAGCAGGGGCTTTCACTTTGTCAGTTAACAGCAGTAATACTGCAGTGATTTCAAGGAAACAGTGTTTTGTTTAGCCTTCGGGAGCCGAAGTTGTGGGGTTAGGTGAGGGCCGAGAAACTCAAGGTATCAACTGGAGAATTTGCTTTTAGTCTACCTCTCTACCTGGTGAAGCTAGCCTCCCTGCAAAAGCTCAGCTGAATGAAGCTCTTTGAATGATGATTCCTCCTTTTTGGGAGCGGGGGCTACTGAGGACTGAATTCGGGTTCTCTACCAGAACCATATCCCCAGCCTTTTTATTGTTTTGAGACTGTGTCTTGCTGTGTAACCCAGTCTGATCTAAACTTGCCATCCTCCTGCCTCAGCCTCCCAAGTGATTGGATTATAGGCATGGTACCACCATGTCTGGCTCGATCCCTTCCTGAGCTCAAGATTATCTCCTGACTTTATTCTTCTTTTGATACTTTTCCCATATTTTCTATTTTTGCCTTTCTGAGATAGAGTATTTCCTCAAAAACAAAGGCTTCCAAGTTTGCAAACTTTTCCTTCCATGCTATATGCCACATTTGCTTTACCAAGTGAGGTAATTACCATTCCTGCAGGATTCCTTGTAATAATACCTTGTTTCCTTGTGTGGTTTCTAGCTGTGAGCCACTAGTCCCTGGAACTTGATCTGTGCCAGGCATCTGACGTGATTACAGTTCAGCCCACAAGGCGGCAGCTTGTCATTGAAACAAAACCCCAGATGCATAGCCTTTTTAGAGTGAACGCTCATCCTTGGTCCAGTCCTGTGAATTCTTCCCAAGCTGTAGTTGAGTGGCTGGGAACAGTCTCATGCACACACAGCTTCCTTGCTGGCCCGTCTGCCTCACAGGTTTCACAGTTTTCTGTGGCTGTTGCATGCTTGCTCCCCACCTAGATGGGAACCCCCCCTCTGGAAACTGTGAGGGGAGAAATCGAACATCTTGAGGCTCTAGCAGACATCCTCAGGGTCAAAGCTGGCTTTGATGCTTAATGATTACCTGCACGAGCTGATGACTTTCATTACTATTATGAGCAATGCATTAGTTTTAATGTTAATTTTGCTAAATTTAACTTATCAAAGTTTATATTTTTGGGAAAATGATGAAAATAATTTCCATATATCCTTCATCCAGGTTCCTCAAATGTTACCATCTTAATGTAACTAACATACTGACTTTATTCAGATTTAGTGGGTGCCTATCTAATCTGTCTGTCTGGGACTGCACACACCACTGCTGCACTGCTTTCACATGCTTCAGCCCGGGGCCGTTCTGTATTCCCTCTCATACTCTATCAACTCTTGGTCATTTCTATAGGGATCACATTGGATCTGATGTAAGTGTCTTGAAAATACATCTTGTGCTTATCTAGGATGTCACGGAGTAGCTTATGTTCTAGAAATGCAGTGGTTGTTGAATTGTATTCATGAACTACCCAAGCAATTCTTTTCAAGGTACACAGTACACAAGGAGTTTAAGCATCTCTTTCTGTTCCTTGTGCACTGCCAACTCCACCAATCACTTCTCGTCCCACATAGGAGCTGGTTCCATGGTCTCTGCTGTCTTACCTGGCTTACCAATCTTGTAATGCAGCCCAGTGGCCTACTACGCACTTAGCTTTGCAGTGAAGCCTCCGTGTTTTTTTTCCTTTTTTTGCTTTTTGACACAGGGTCTCGTTGTGTAGTCCAGGCTGACCTTGAATTTGTGGCGATCCTCTGGCCTCAGCCTCCAGTGTGCTGGGATTACAGGGGTGCACCACCAGGCCTGGCCTGAAGCCTTGGTCTTTCATCTCCTGCTCTCAGGTGCCCTTCCAAGGGTCTGACCTGTGCAGAACTTTAAACAAAAGGAGGAGGCAGACAGGGTAAAGACAAAGGTTCTGTTGGCTCCTTTAAGATATAGTTTTAAGATGAGGAAATGTAATTAACAGCTTTACCATATTAAGACCTTACTTGCTTCAGGGAATTAAGATGAAATGGGCATTAACTCCAACTATTACAAGACACTATTAGTTTAATTATGACAGTTTACCATGCAACAGTTATGTTGGTTTCAGCTTTTATTTCTGAATTGTCTCATGTCCTCAGCATGCACTAGGACAGCAGCACAGCGAGGTCATGGTCTCTCACTTCTTGGTTTTAAACATTACCGAGTTCTTAGGTGTCTGAGCTTTCTTTTGTGGTATGTGGTTGGCCATACAATGCTAAATTTGTGTTGCTATGGGTAATACAGTCCTTTGTATGAGTTTCCAGAAACTCAGGAGAAACAGGACCTGCCTGGGCTGGTTTCTTGAAGTATTTAATACTGGAACATTATTTGCCTTTTTTTCCCCCCCTTTTTAGTTTTTAATGCTGAGAAGAGAGACATCATACATTTATTTGATCAGCATGAAAAGCGGAATCACACGCTCTGAATCAAACTGGTATTGTTTACTTCGTGTCAGGACTGAACAGATCACTATAAACCATTCATGAGTGACTGAGTACCCAAAGCTGTGAAATGTACTAAGTAAAATGTACATCTAAAGATGATTGTATGGGTTTAGTATGTACTTTATGTATGAAAACTGGGACTGTCTCAACCAACTGGGAGAGATTTTGGGGGTACTTTTTGTCTGTAATAGGATGTCAGAGTTTTTCAAACCTTTTTGGCTAATAGGTATTTCATGAGAAGGTCACAAATAGAGAACATGTTCTCCTCCTAATGTGACAGCAGTAGAGCTTCTTTATTCTGGAATCTGTGTTTAAAAAAATAAAAAGCTGTAGGCCCATCTGACAGGAAGGCGGTGGGCTGTGCAGCACCCTAACCTGCCTGGGTCCTCTCCACATGCTGTGGCCTGCTGCTGGTGCCAGCCCATCTGCCACTCCTGTTCCGAGTGACTGGCTAATGCTCCTGTGCACTCCTGATTCGGACCATCCCAGCCTAAAGTGCTGTTAACGCACACACCATTAGCAGCAGTTTAAACAAGCCTGAATACAGAGCTGCTTGGGTCAGAGTTTTAAAGACTACTTGTATAGTGAGGCTCGTCATTCTTAATGTATAAAACACTACTGATTTATAATTTGGATGTTTGTGGTCTGTCCTTACTTTGCTTACTTTTTAACATGTGTGGGCAAAGCAAAATCTTCTCTAAGAACATGTACATTACCAAGAACAATGACTGAATTAGACTTCTGTAAATGGAGGCCACACCAGCTGGCCCTAGTATACCCATAGCAGGACAGACACTGAGTCAGCACTGACGATAGGTCTGCACCCCTTTTATTGTCAGAGTAAAAGAACAAAGCTGCTTGATGCTGAAGGATATATGTTACAAAATGAGGATATTTAGAAAGGCAAGAGAAATGCTATGTTTATCCTTATACACTTAGCTCTGATAAATGACTCGTGCAACTGATTTTAAAAATTGAAGGTTGTTAATTTTTAAAATGATGGTTTGATCAAAACCCAGTGATAATGACAATTAGGTTTGACTTGATTCTTAACATTGATGGTAAATAGGCTCTTACTGCTTGTGAGTCACACTGACAACCTTCCGGGAAGTGCTTCGGGGCAAGCCGGAGGAGGCACAGGATGTAATGCAGGGGCCATTTGGTTAGTGCCCTCTTTTCCACAAGGGATAACGGGGCCCAGAAATTCAGGAGCACCTAGCTGCAGGGCTGCAGTTCACCAAGGCAGGCCTGTGTGTGTATATGTTCATGTGACCGTCTCCAGAGTGAGTGTTTGTTTCTTTATCCAGTCTAAGATTTAGCTTGTCCACCCTGAAAAGGCAACTGAAGCAAGTATGGAAGTATGGAAGTAGACTTTTGTCCAAGTTCTTTTTCACTCTTCCTTTGTGTCTCAGTCTTAGGGCTGACATGAATGTTCTTGCTTTCTCAGTTGAAGTATTCACCTCATGTTTAATGTGTGTAAAGTTGCCAAGAAATAAAGTACTCTGTTGGTTCAACTTTTAAACCTTTTTAACGGCTTTCATTGTTTTTAGCTGTTTTCCCTTTGTACCCTGTGAGTTGTGGATAAAAATTGTGGAGATTAAAGATTTAATTGTGGAGATTTAAAAGATTAAATCTTTTTTGGGATAAGATAGATGTCAGTATAATTAAAGGTTAGCCAGGCTGCTACCACTTAGCCTTTAAGGAGTATACTGGAGCCTTGGGGAAAGTTGTGGTGGAAGCTTGACCTTTGCTTGTCTCTCAAAGATGCGAGTGAGGTGACAGTAGTGGGACCTCCAGGGTGATGGATCATGTTTGCCTCTTTCAGAGAGGAAACAGTTACTTCCCTGTGTGTGTGTGTGTGTGTGTGTGTGCGCGTGCGCATGTATCCAACTCAAGGCTTTGTACGCGCTACAGAAACACTTCACTACTGAGCTACCTCCCCAACCAGAAAAAGTTCACTGGTGCATTACAACCCATTCTCTGAAACTGCTGCTTTACCAACTTAACATGAATATCACTTGAAAGATTAGTCCTGTTAACCCAGTCTATAGCCACATTTCCTCCTGTAAAGAATCCTCTTCTAACAATCTCCTTGCTCTGATTATGTGAGAGGGGCTCATTTAAGTTATTCCAAAAGTCAACAGAAGACATGTCTGTGAGTAAACGAAAGCACCACACTTTCCTAGAATGTTAACTATAATGTCTGAACTTTAAACAAGTGCAGGTACTGCTTCTAGCTCAGAGAATGGCTGCATTAGTAACTAAGTGGAAGACAGTGCAGCGGACTACAGTAAGAACCCTACAGTGTAACGAACACACCAGTTCTGGTTAGAACTAGTTCTCACTTAACTCTTAAATCTGATACACCAACTTGAGTTTAGACACCTACTGCAAGTGTCAGACACACTGACCGCTTTTCAGATTCTACTTTGCCAGACCCCTCCAGATATCTTGTTCTTACCAGGGATCACTCCTCTCCTAGATTCCCAAGCTCCTAAGGACACTATTTTAGCTTCTCTGTTAAAGCCCTGGAGTCATGCTGGATCAAGTCTTAGCATGATGAAGTCCCTTTTCTGAAGATTACACTACAGTTCAGAAGATAAGATGGTTCTGGGTACTTCTAGGAGGCATGGCCCTTACCAAGAGAGGAAGGGTCCTTCCTGGGATGTGGCACTTCAGCTGAGACTTGAAGGATGCCAACAAAGTGGCCACAAGAGGCTTGGGAGCCAGGAAGAGGCAACGCAGCTACAGCTTGAGAAGGTAGAGGGAGCTGTACCAGGTGCTCTTGGTAGATCAGGTCTAACTGGAGGGATCGGGTTTGCCAGCTCCTCTGACACTCAAGTATGAATTCTTTTACTATCTCCACTGCTTCGCTCCACTGCTTCATGTGACTGTCCAGCCTCTGTCCCACGTCTTCAAGAAACAGCTCTCCATGCTGTCACCAGCTACCTTTACATGCCCAGTGCAGTGGGCCCATTTTGGCCATTCTGTTACTGGCCCGTGTGGCTGTGTATTCTGCTTATTTACCTCCAGGGTTCCTGCAGGAGGCTTTTCCAGGGACCAGAAACATAGTCAGGAGAGGAAGAAGGCAGGCAAATGCCTCTTCCAAATATTTCAAAGAGGGTGCTTTGATCAGTATTGATATCGTGGCTGGCCAGAAAACTGTTATGCGAAAGCAAAAAAGAGTGAACTGACGGAGAAACTTAAACAGTGGCAGCCTGTCCCTGTCACCTCTGTGGCCTCCCCCTCCCCTGGCCCACTGTTTATATTCTTGTCACCATCAGGCCTTTGGCACCATTTCCGTGCCACTGCAACCCCCACACAAAGCCTTAATTTCCATGTATAAGACTACTTAGTCCTCTATTCATTTCCACCTTGGACTTCATTTCTTGGCTCCCAACAGAACTAGTCTCTATCTTCACCAAGATGTCCCAGAGGCAGCTCAGTCTAAATGATCCTTGTGCCCTACATATGCAAAGGGAACCTCATTTGCCAAGGCCAAAAAAACTGAATCATCCAGTTCCCACACAACAAACAGACTTGCTCATTAACCACTTCCTGTTAGCTGTACTAAAGCATTTGAGTCCATCCATTTCTCTGCTCTCTCCACCATGACTCGCTAAGAAAATTTTCACTCGTGTCCCTGCCTCCAGCCCTGCCCTGTCCGGAACCAATCTCAGGCAAGCAGGTTGATCCCATCAGTTCTCTGCACTTAAGACTTCAGTGGTAGCTAAATAAAGTCCAGATTCTTTAGCCTGGCTTCTTGCCTGCAGGTCTGTGCACATCCTATTTCCCTGTCTAGAATGCCTTGAACAGCTAACACCTCTTGAACCTTCGGGACTCAGGCAAGACCATGACTTTCTCTGTACAGTTCAATATGAAGTCATTCTCCTACACGCATGCCTTAGCTTTCTGTTACTGCAATGAAATACCTGAGAGATAATCAACTTAAAAAGAATAAAGGTTAATTTTGGCGATTTCTTCAAGTACAGTACATAGTTAGCTGGCCCTGTTGTTTTGGATTTGCAGCAGCAGAGTACATCACCGCAGGAGTGAGGTGCAGGAGGTCTGTCTGCCTTATGGCAGCCAGAAAGCAAAGCAACTAGAGAAGGGTGAGGGTGGCATGCCCCAAGAACACACCCCTGCAGTGACCCGCTTCTTCTCACTAGGACTTGCTGCCTCCCAGCAGCACCTCCAGCTGGTGACAAAGCCTTTAAACACAAGGACTTAGGGAACATTCAAGATCTAGACCAGTGATGGTTAACCTTTTAGAGATGAGTACCCAAACTGCAACCCAAACCCACTTACTGCATATCACAAAGTGCTGACTCTTCAGTCAAACCTGAACACTGAGGTTTTACTTTAGAAAGAACAACTCGTACATTAACATGTCTTAAAAACACAGTAACCCCGATGCCATAGTTCGCTGCCACTGATCTAGACTGCAGCAACCAGCATACACTGTTGCATTTTAACTATGTACTTGTTTTTCTGCATTCTTCATGCGATTATAAGCTTGGGGGAACAGTATCTTCCTTTTTTGTTTTTGTCTTCAGTATCTTAGATGGTACATGTTTTAACATATTCTAAAGATGCAACTACAGTGACACCTTCGTTGTTGAACTCAATTGGTTAAAAATTCATGTCCAAACATTGAAAAGTTCGAAAATTGAACGTATTTTTCCCTTAATAATGGAAAACCAAGTAACTGGTTCTGAGGCCCCAAAATTATATGCATAAATTCATTTTTGCAGGACTGTAACAAATTTCTCAATGATTTCTCTTTTTTTTGGTACCAGAAATTGAACTCAGGACCTTGTGCTTGCCAGGCAGGGGCTGTGCTGCTAAGCTACATCCCTAGTCCCTTGGTTTCTTTCTCTATCATGGTTCCTCACTGTTTTCCTTTTAACTTTACTGCTGGTATCAGTAATTTTCTTTGCAGGCATGGTTAGTTATCATATTTTGTGCAAATAAAGCACAAAAAAGTGCACAATGACAAATATTTTAAAGTACTAACACAAGCACTATCTGTTGTCTGGGTAAGAACAGTGCTTAGACATAAGTGTCACCCATCTGTATCCATGGCAAGAAAGGATGTGTGACTCATTCTCAGCTATACAAGGTTTTTCAGGTTGGGTTTTCTTCAAACTTTGCTGTTAGGAGTAGTGGAAAGTTCAAGCAGGAGCTGTTTGACAACTGAGGTTGTATCACTGTATTTTTCTGACTGTAAGTCTACTATAAGAAACAATACTTGAAAACCTGGCTACTTAAAAGAAAGCACATGATTCTATGAGTAACATACACTAATAAATCTGCTTTTTAGCGGGTAGTGAGTCAACAGCACACTTTAAGAAGACCCACTTCAAAAAATACACATATTCTTGATTACTGAGCTATTGCTCAGTAATGTTCATTTGCAGTAGATGACCCAATCAGACATTGTAGTACGAAGTGCCAGAGCAACTGCACTGATACATATAGGTGGTTTTGTTGTTTGATTTTCTGCTTTAAAGGCTATGTATTCTGTATTTCACATCTTGGCCCCTAGGATGGAAGAATAATTTCTCAGCTTCCTAACTTGCCTCAGGGCCTTTTTGGTTATTTGCAAAATGTCATGTTCTTTGTACTATCCTCTTTTGCTTTTTCTTTTGTTTCTTCTACTGCCTATCATTCCTTTGCCATTTTTTGTTTTCTACATTGATAAAGCACCAACCACAAACTGTGCTATTTCCTTTCTCAAGAAGTATAAGCTTTATTTCTTCTTCCTAGTTCAAAAGTTTCTGTTGTACAGGCCATTTTTCTCTAGACTTCTGAAATCTCAGGCTGCCTATGGGCTGGTCCTGGTTAAGGCAAGTGTTACCACTCTTGGAAAAGAAGCTAGACTACGTTCACTGGAGAGCAAGGTCAGGAATATACTTACCTTACTGTCTTTTTTATTGGAGCGGCAGGCACAGTCAGGTTAGCTGCTTCAGAGTTATTTTCAGAAAAAGGTCTAAATACCACATTTTCAAGAAAGAGGTCAAAGAGCTAAGGATACAGCTCAGTGGTAGAACACTTGCTTAGCATACATAGGTTGGGTCTCTTAGAATCAAAACAAAATGGTGGCAAATCAGAGTTGAGATACTTAAAAGCGCAGAACTCTTATCATAAAAACTCACTAATTTCAGGCCACACTACAAAAGCCAGCTTAAGCTCATATAGTACTGTCACTATACAGTGAGTACCTCGCTCATATAGTACTGTTCCCTACAGGGGACAGAATAGGAAGTCTGGACAGCTGCCACACAAACTCCCAGCAAAGGAACAGGGAGAACAAAGGATGGACAGGGCAGGGCTTCTGGCACCAAGCACTCACAGGCACAGGTGGGCTGAAGTAGTGACACTAGCAGACCCTACCTGAATATGTTTCATGGATTAAAGTGAAGAGGAAGGAAAAAAGAACGTATCCCATTTAAGGCAAGGCCTTCCCTACCTTTTCATTGTCACCAAGACATAATGTTCACTCTAAAATGTGCCAAAAGTAACAAAGGATTTAAAAAAACCTGTTCATCTCCTTTTCGAGTCAGAGAGCCCCCAAATGCTTTTAAATGTGTCTCACCAGAAAATCTCATATAAGGGTTTAACAAACCTCATGATCTGAAAAACCTTCTGGATAATTTTGAACTGCTAAAACGGTGAAGAGCAAACACCTTCAGCTCTAGGTATGTTTCACATGGTACTGTCTTTTATCTCCAGTAGTACGTTTTTTGTCAAGAAATTTATTAGCCTTTACAAACACTATTTTCACTCATTCATAAAAAATGATTTATGATTAAATCTGTAATAAAACCATGTAGACCAGTTTCATCCATGGAACATAATAAACCACTTTAAAACAGCAGTTTTCATTCATGTCATGTAAGGCTGTCAAACTAAAAGTATTCTTTACAATGGGTTGTCATCCAAGAAATCCATTTCACTTCACGTTATATGGTGAGACTGATGGATATATCCTCGAAGAGCAGAATCTGAAAGCAGATTCTACCTTTTTGTGGTCATGGTTTCAGTCTCTCTCAAACAAGTTTCACAACAGGAAAGTATTTGTGAATAGAGAAATCAAATTCAGGAGGAACCTGTAAAGAAAATTAGAAAATCAATTAAAGTATCTACAAGTAATCATGCAATCAACAAAAAGCACTATTTTAAAAGTTTTTTGTGTTTTTAGAAAGGGGACAGCACAAAAGAGATTTAAAAGTTGATTTAGCCAGGTGTGGTGGCACATGCCTTTAACCCCAGCATGTGGGAGGCTGAGGCAGGAGGATCACCATGAGTTCGAGGCCAGTCTAGGCCACATAGTGAGTTCAAGGCCAGCCTGGATTGCATAGTGAGACCCTGACTCAAAAAACCAAACAACCAAAAAAACCAAAGAAAAACAAGAAATGACAATGACAAGAAAAAGGAACTAACCTGGAGGAAAAAAGTGACCAACTTATTTCTGGGCTTATGAGGGTCATCAGAAAATACACGGACTGCCTGTTTTCTACCTCCAGAGAACAGATAACAAAGGAAAATAGACTTACATTATAGAAAGAAGCTCAAGTTAAGTCAGGGAACAGCAAATTTTTTAGTTTCTGAGTCAGATGATAAAATGAGACTCAGTAAAAGAGGGCAGGAGAGAAGCCAGACAGACAATAGAGAAACAATCGGAGTGAACAACAGGGTTGGACATAATGGGAAAGTGTCTCCTGGCTGGCCTCCTCCACAAGGCAGGACCTGCTCGCTACCTAACAAGCTGCCCTTACCTGATGACACAACGTGACCAACGAAAAACTAAAAGAGAAGGCTTTAATTCTTGAGAGATTCAGTTTCCGAAAGTTAGGTGATACTTAAAAACCTCAAAGTCCCATTAATTTGTTTTTGCACATTTTATTTTTCTTACCGAATTAGGGCAGGTAGAAATGTTAAATAACCAAATACATGTCTCATGGCAAAATGCTATTAAATCTTTAGGATGACTTTTGTTCGGTGTTTTAACTTTTTCTGTAATAATTATGCATCTCATTGAAAAAAATAAAAAACTTTAATTTCCCAACAGTGTACTTACCTTGGACTCCTTTTTGTGTCCTCCTGCCAATAACTTCATAACCACAAAATTGGGTTTGGCAACCTTTAAAATTCTATTGACCTAAAACACAAACATTAAATTATAGTAACAGGAAACTCATAGCCAAATTTTCTTTATATTACAGATACAAATGAGAACTTGGCATACTAGAAGTGCTGAATTTAATACAGGCAATTTAAAGTAATAAGCACCTTCTAACAAAGAACTCCATTTAGCCAGCTGTGGCGGGAAAGGGCTCCTGTGTCTTGCTCTCCTGGGAACAACAGCATTAGCTGTTGCCTCCTGAGAAGGCAGCAGAAGGCAGTGCTCAGAGCACAGCCACTGGGATTAGGCTGTGTTTTCAGACCAGAGCTTTGCCGAAGAACCTGCCGAAGTTCTCTAACCTTTCTGCTCCTCCATGTCTTTATGCATAAAAATGGAGACAACTCTAACCCACAGAGCACTGCTGTGAACACTGTGTTGTATACTGATGTTTTGATCAACCACAGAAACATGTGCAACATGACCATGGTCCCAAGGGACAGCAGCTGGAGCTGTTGTAGCTTGTATAAGTGTGGTATGATGTTCATATAACAGCTGCTTTGCCTACAATGCCTTTCTCAACACAACCTTGTCCTTAAGTGATGTATGACTGCAGTAGGAACTTGAAACCATGCCTACAGGTATTTGATTACGGTGACTTTTGACTACCACTGATCTAAAAGGTTTCCATAGACAGAGGAGCAGCAATGGAATGGAATGCTGGATCCCTCTCAGACAGCAGTCCAGAAGTCCCCGTTGCTGCCCTCTTACTGACCTCTGGAAAGACAAGTGCGGGACCAGTTCCTTCTCAACTCCAGGTAGATGCCCAGCTGCCTATGTAACACTCCATTTGCACGACTAATGGGCGCCTCAAATTTACCTCATCTAAATCTGCCTGGCCCCCTGCTCTGGCTCCACTGAGAGCCTTGCCTATATGAATCAATCCATCCAGCAGCGTATGCCAAAAACCCTCAAGTCCTCCTTGACTCCTCTCTTCCACTAACATCCCACATCTAATCCTCCAACAGCCTCAAAGACTGGATCTTAAAACAGAGCAATCACTTTGGATCCCCCCACTGCCACAGCTCTCTCCTGGGATCACTGCCATGGTCTACTCCAGGACTGACTCTCTGGACTCCACCTTTTATCCTACTACAATCTATTTTCAGCACAGGGCAAGAGTGATTCTTAAAATCTCCTCTGCTTAAACCCTCCTAGAGTGCATCTGCTTGTTTCCCCGCTCCAGTCAGCAGTTCTTCAAATGCTTTAGGGACACTCCTGCCTCGTATTTTTCTTTTGGAAGGTTTGCTTCTTTGCCTTCTAGGATTCTCTCAGAGGCCACTGTTTTTAAAACTGCCTTGGGATTTAGCCAGTGGTACAGCACTTGCATACCATGTGCAAAGCCATGGCTTTCATCCCCAGCACCACCATTAAAAAACACAACAAAAGAAATCCTACTTCCTGCTTCCAGTAGCCATTTCCTATTTCCAACAGTTTGACTTTTCTTTGTATCATTATGTCTTTCTAATATATAATTTACTTGTTTAATGTCTGTAGCCCCACATCCCTTCCTTATCCCTCCAAGGGTTAGGATTTCACTGTTTATTTTCTGCTGGACATACAGTAGGTGCTCAGTAATAAATGAAACGTGTCATTTATTATGGGGACTTCCCTCAGATTTATACTACCACTTCATTTAATAGGTGGAATATATGTTTTTAAAAAAAGCCTCACTCCTCTCTCCAAGACACCCAGCTGTATTCCCAAGAAGCAAACACTTTAGCAGTACACTAAACACACTGTATGGTACCCTCTTTCTAAACTTTTAAAGTCCTGAAAAGCATTCCACTATGGTACATAAAGATCTTCCTCATCCTAAAGACTGTATAGCATCCCACTGAAGGACACATCAGTCCACTCAGAAGACCCCTGCAGATGAACACTGACATTTCTCGCATTTTTTGCCACGAGAAATCCTGCTGTAGTGACTATATATGTATTCACACTTTCCCTCATTTCCTGTACATGAATATGGACCGGAGGATACAGCCAAAGCAGCAGCATTGCTGAGTCTAAGCACCTGTGGTTTTTAACAGATACTGGTACAGTACCCCTTCACAGAAGTGGTATCAACACATACTCCCCAAATATAGGCAATTCTTTTTTTTTTGGTAGCAGGACGTCGAACTCACGACCTTGCGCTTGCCAGATAGTACAAATAAGAATTTGTAGGTGCATCTATCTCAGTAAAAAAGACTGCATCTATCTCAGTAAATAATCTTAGGGACATGGCAAATTATTAAAATATCAAAAGCTATTTTCAAGATTTATTTGTGTATCTCAAAATCTTTAAAAGCAATAGCCATAAATAGTCAAGTGGAAAATGTTGCTGTGATAACTGGTCATATTATTTTTCAAAATTAATACTTAAGATCAGACTGGCAAAACTACTTGAGATCCTTGGCAAAAACATGTCAGGCTCTGCTTACTAACACTATAGAGTTATGATAATTGGCTTTTGTCTAGTAGTAAGATATCTATTTCCTACCCCCCCCATTATAATATAATGAATCCAGTCTTACCTCATGGTCTGGGTTGGGGATATTTTCCAATATCATTTTTGCCTGCTGAAAATGCTTACTAGCTGCCACATACAGTTCTGGAGACTGAGGAGGTGGACTGTATTTATTGAGGTCCGACATTTCCTAAAAAAAGAACATTATTCAAAATATGTTAATTGGAAAAAACTCTAAAATACTTATATTGTTATAGAAATCTACACTATCCATTCATATAAAGATAGGCAAACATTCAGCCTATATTCCTATTTTTCCCTATGTAATATTCAATTCTCAATACTTATATACCGCCTCATAATTGCATTATTTAAGTAACTGTTAGTGCGACTAGTACATCCATCAAAAAAAAAACAGATTCACACTATTTAAAGTTGCTATTTTTATCACCTGTCCCAGTCATTTTGACTACGTATTTTAACAAGATGACTAGGTACAAACAGCACATTTCTAAGAAGGTGTAAGACTAAAGATCATACAATGACCTCAGTGCGCAGGTTCACCTTGAACTGTAGATAGTGCACTGGTGGCGGGGTCATCACACTGTTGAAGGGAGCAAATCTGTGCTCGTATCGAACTTGTTCACTATCGAGCTCAAACTTGGGTTTGCGTACTTTGCCATCCATGTCAAATGCTACCATGGTCTAAAGAAAAAGGAAATAAATTAAAAAAGAGAAAAACAACCTGAAAACATGATCATCATCATTAATAGAGAACAGAACACTAAAACCCAGCTGCGTATGTATAGTTAAAAACAATTTATGGCTTGGTAATCAGAAATGAGAAACACTACTTTTATGTGCTACGCTTTATGCAAAAAAAATTTCAAGCTCCAGCATTCAATGTATTACTGTTTTCCCCAAGTATATTATAGGATGTGCACGTTTTTCTTCCATGCCACACTTAACAGTATCTTCTGAGGAAGTGACTAGCATATTCAAACAGGTCTTGTTTTTCAAATCCTTTCGCTTTATGTATCTTAATGTAAACTATCTCAACTCATTTCTTGGACTGTCCAGTACTACTTCAGTTAGTCCTCAGTCAGTACCTGCTGCAAATGCCTGCTTTTGCTTACAACACTCGAAGTGCAGCCCACCCGCTTCCTCATATACTGCTAAAAACCCTGAAGTCCTCCCTTCCATGAAACTTTTCCTGGTCATTAGTCAGAAACAAGGTCTTCTTTTATGACCTGTGCCACATGTCTGTCAACATTTGTCAAATGCCTGTTTGGCATTTATTAGGCCTGTGTGAAACAAGGACAAATGGACACAGTATCTGACACATGGCAAAGGTTCAAATGCTTGTTGAAAATACCTAGACTTGAAAAAAAAGTAACCTTTAAGTAATGTGAGAAGTAAAGATGAAATAACCCGGAAAGAATCATGAAAGGGGTTCATTTAAAGTAAACTAAGTTTTTAATGACTTACTTTAAACATTCCAGCACACATGTTCTGGTATGCTTGACTCATTGTGATCTCCCGGCTCAACGGGCGAACTGTAATCAAGAGAAAATCCTCTTTACTCTTCCCCCTGACTCTTGAATTACCACAGGAGAAAAATTTTAAATCTCCCAGCTTGTTTACTAACTGTGAACTTTAGTTTGCCCCTACACTAAATTTTATCTTGTGACCAAAATACACTGAAAAAGCTAAATGACTGTGTTCTCAAAATATTACTCTAAAACTGAAATACGAATTTTAAACTTTTCTGAATTTACCAGAGACCCAAGCAATGAATAGTTAATCACTGACCTAACCAACCTATTTCTCTTAAAAAAAAAACAGCACACAGTGTAGCAGGATCTATAATGCCTGTAAGGGAGCAGATACTTTTCCCTCCTCACAGGGTCAAGGAGCTCAGTGCATCACCATCCTGCACCCAGTGGAACAGCATGGCTCCAGACCAGGGCAAGAGCCTGCTGAGCCTCCAGTTCTGACCATGGACTCCTACTATTTTGTTCCCTAGCCTGCCTTGTTTCATGTGGCTAATTCTTGATCTAAGATCCTCTGATACACAAAATAGCAAAGAAAGGAACCAAAAGCACTTCTATAACTAACCCTGGACTCAATTTCTACCTTCTAATTTCTGAAAGGATGATGGATGAAAACTACAATATAATGACTAATTCATCCATTACAACTCACAAGGAGCTCTCTACAAATTTGCTGGTTGAAAGTAAAATATACTCCAGCATTATTTCTTAAGTTTAAAAACAGTCCACAGCACCTTTCTTTTTTTTCTTTGTTTTTTTACTGCTCCGGCCTTTCTGCTGCTCTTCCATTATCCTTTCCTCTGCCATTTGAGAGCCATCAGCACGACTCAGTGTGGACATCAACCATGCATAAAGGAATTCAGAAAGATACCTGAAAGGATGTAAAATGTTGGTTAACAGAGCTAAGTAACACAGCTCTATCAACACATGTGTTAGTAATAATAGTATTTTCTTCAGTTTCGTTTCACAGTGAGAACTGAAGCCAGGGCCTCAAGCCAGCGAAGTGCCCCCTTCACACTTAAAAAAGATTTTTCAATTTGGTATCAGATTAGCTCTTGTAAGAATTGAAGCATTAAAGGTGACTTCCTTTCCCTTTCTACATTTTACAACTTTCCATGACTTGATAGTTATATACATGGGAGTCTAACAAATGCCCATTAAATTGTTTTTTAGTAACATCATATTTCACTTTGGTCAATATTTTCTTTGCCAGTTAATCACAATATAAGTAAAAAATATATGTAAAATATAAGTACAACAAATAAATTTAGAAAATGACAAAAAATTATAGCATTATATAAAACCATTCCAAAAAATTAAGAACATTCAGGCTCATAATTTACTTGTTTATTCAGTAAATAATATGTAAAGAAATATTCTATCAAATAATTTAAACTAATCAACATATTCTACTAAACCAGAAAAGTAGTTCAAATCTAAGGTACCAATATATGTATCTTTTGTAATGTAAGTAATAAAACTAAGGACCATTACTTACACTAAATAAAAAGATCTGTAAGAGGTTTTATGATTAAGTTTGAACATATAATGCCCAATTCCCGAATTTTCCAGAAAGATGTAAAATAAAATAGATTGTAATATTAAAATACATTGTCAAACAGTATTTTTTAAAGCAAAACAAAAACTATGCAAAAAACATATAGTACTTAGACTGAACTTATGCCAAACCAAGCATTGTGATTCCTTGCAGGTAAAGCAAAATGGGAAATATATTTTTATCTGATCAAAGGAAAGTATATAACTTCATATGGATAGAAAATAACTTCTGAATTTAGGAAAAGCAGTTATTATAATATTCTTTCACAAGATACAAATGAACTCTTCCCCCACCACACTATAAAATCTGAGGCTCTATAACCTGTATCTTAACTTGAGGGAAGATTTCTATTAGGAAATAATAGTGCCTTCTGTCTTCACATATTCTCACTTTTAAACACAAATGCATGAAAGCTTAGCTGAGAGGATTCAGGTCTTTCCTCTCAAACACCAGGTACTGCAATGAGCTTCAATCAAGTGTTTCTCAACGACACAGTCCTATCTCAGGAGAGTTAGAAGGCTGATACTCTATCACCAGTTCTCAAATGTCATCTCTGGGCTAGCGGCAGTATCCCCTGCCAACTAGTTAGAAAAGGCAATGGCTAGGTGCCACCCTCCTGACCCAGGGACTATGGGGATTGAGCCTAGCAAATGATTACCATGCATGTTAATGTTTAAGGACCCCACACAAAAAAACAAGACGGGGGGGCCAGAGATGTAGCTCAGTGGCACAGCGCCTGCCTGGCAAGCACAAGGTCCTGAGTTTGATTCTTGGTACCAAAAACAAATAAAAAACCCAAAAGATTATTTTGGGAAAATGTATGTGTCCAATCTGTAATTTTAAAACCAAAAAACAATTCAGAATATGACAGCCACAAGAATATTTATAGGGAAGAATTAAAATTTCTTTCATTAACAAGAAATGAAACTGCTCAGGTATGTAGGTATATCTGTAATAGATATTCATTTGCTGAATTAAGATCCTAATTATTTGCAGAGAGCAATGCATGAAAATTTTATTTTGATTTGAGAAGTGGAGAGAAAAAGCTTGCAATTAGTCACAGAGAATTCTAGCATGTTTCATTAAAAAAGAAACCAACAGGAATATATACTACAGGCTAATAACAAAACGTATCTTCTGTAGTTATATAACCACCACTCAGTAATAGCCATTTGGTATTATCTTTATAAATGCTGAAAAATACTCCATAGATATTCTCATATTACAGTAGTCACTGCTCAAATATAAATTTTCCTGAGTTATCTGTTAAAAAGCTCATGATAAAAATGTCAACAGAGAATTACTTTTTTTCCTGAGTAATGACTCCAGAGAGTACGTATTTTAAGTTAAATTTAAATGAGTTTAAATGGCAAACTGTATTAAACTCTATACCAAATTTAAGTGTTTGTGATGGGAAACATAGGTCATTACTAGTTTAAAATTATTTCCATACCTTGCCACTTTAAGAAAGATTCAAGAGACCTGAATTCATTAATGCCTATTTTTCTTTATTTTGACAACTTTTCCTTGGCTAAGATAGTCCCTAACACCCTGTTCCTAGGTTTTTCTATCTTGTTTACTGGTGCAAGGGAAGAACCATTCTGCTGAAGAGCACCTTTCACTGACTCCCAAAGTATGGAAGCAAAGCCTCAGGGCCACAGTTTTCCCAGTGACTACCCTGGCTGTGACCTTCTCTGAGGAGAAGGAAGATCTGGCTCCAATCTGAACTTCCAGTCTGTCATGTACATACAGCTACTCCCTAATACCACTGAACTCAGAGCAAAACGTGTTACTTTTTGATCTTGTTTTCTGCACTGCCCAGGCTGGCCTAAAACATAAGCCTGCCCACCTCAGTCTTTCAAGTAGCTTGGATACAAGCTAACACCACCATGTCTAGCTCGTAAAATGTATTAATTTCTCTCCACAGAAACAGATAAAAGAGGGGCTGGGGATTTAGCTCAGTGGCATAGCGCCTGCCTGGCAAGCACAAGGTCATGAGTTCAATTCCCAGTACCGGAAAAAAAAAAAACAAAAAAAAAAGAAACAGATTAAACAGTTCCAATTAATCCTTATTTCTGGAGCCACTTTTACTTGTTGTTTTTACATAGATATTTGAATGGCTGGGAAAACGTGTACAATGTTATGGAAGAAAAGATGTTCAAGTTGACCTAGCTTTAATTTTCAAGTTATTTTCTCAAAGCTAAATTATACTAAATGAAAAAGCACCCTGGAATTAGTTTATTTCCTAGATACTATCTCAGATCTGATCCACTTCATGGGCCACCAATTTTAACTAAAATTGTTCTCTTACCAGTATATGTAGTAGTACTCATGCATGCTGTAGAGCTCCAACTCAAAGCCACTTAGCAGATACTGTATCATGATTCGAAGGTTATGATAAAGGACCCATGTCCCTAAACAGGCCAAATGTTGCCTTTGGGGTTCTTGTTTCAACAGCATAGTGTGAAGCGCTGCATCAACCTTCTCTGCCTATCAAAATAAAATTTAACATTGACTTCCTTTTAGGTAATGGAGAATTTTAAAATATGAACAGAAAAGTTGGTGGGAACTCAGCACCTATAATCCCAGCACACTGGGAGACTGAGGGAAGATTATCATAAATTCAAGTGCTGCCAGGGCAACTGTGCAACTCAGTGAGACTCTCTCTCTAAACAAAAAATAAAAAAGGACTGGGATATAGCTCAACCCCTAGTACCACTAGTACCACCTAGTACCACTCAACCCCTAGTACCACCACCACCACCACCACAAAAAGGGCAGGAGATTCAAATCTCACCCCTAAAGGAATCATACTTTCAAATGTATTTTATTAGGTTGGCATACAAAGTTAGTAATAGTTAATGACTTTCTAAACACTCCTTATAGGAAAAAAGACATCTATTTTAAGTAAAAATATATAAATAATTAACTGAAGATCTTTAGTTATATCATTTAATATTGCAGGTGCCACTCACAAATTAACTTTAAAATGAATATTTTTTATTACAATGTAAATTTGCTTTATAGTTCTAAACACATTTCATATTTTATCCTGATTATCAAAAAATTACTGAACATATTTATCCATTTGGATTATTCTTGTTTTTCTCATAAATTCTCCTTTGGTATGTGAAACCATTAAATTTTAAGTGAAGAGCAAACTCATTATAATGAAAAATTAAATATTTAACATACAGTTCCAAAGAATTGTTTTTAAAAATCTAGACAAAGTGACTTGTTTTTTTTAAAAAAAGGAACTTGGCTCTTACCTCATCCTGCAAAGTAGCAAACTCTTCCAGAATATGCCCAAGTTTATCTCTCTGCCGAGCCCTGTTATGTCCATGGATCTGAATAAGACTACAAAATGGCTGGAATACATATACAATTTGATCACTATCAGCGTGAAAATTGCCTTAAAGGACAACATTCCAAGTTCTCAAAATCGGGCTTAATGGAAAAGATGCTGCATATGTAAGAATCATGCCTATGCAGGTTTTTTTTTTAACACAAATGTCAGTTTTTAAGGAACTCAACACCAGCATTTATTAACTAGAAAAAGGTGGCTACTTGTTAAACTTGTTTTCACACAGCAAACATATCTTCCTTCGATCTTTAGTTATATTCCTATAATTTTTAAGGAGACAATTTCTTTTCTGTCTGTTTTAAGCTAAAAATTAACATTCAAGGCTGATGTTTCTGTGCCACTTTAAATATTCCAGAATGCCCAATTGTTATTTGGCTTGAGTAATGGCTAAGACCTCTAAACCTTGACTATGACTAAGGTCCAGCTATTACTATTCTCCTGCATATAGTATTACATACATATCACAAAATACTGTAATATTTCATTAATTAGACAATAGATATGAATGGCAGGATGTTCTGATTTAAGAAGTGTGAATAACATCTTTGGAGTATAATATTGTTTTCTATTTGTGTACACTGACAGATATTACCTCATTTTGTCAAAAACTATCCTAAAAATGCAGAGAAATACAGGTTTAGCATCTAACTTTTCAGAAAACTCAAAATTCAAAATGCTCGAAAATCCCACACTTATTGCATGCTAGTATGATACTCAAAAAATTTCAGATTTTGGATTTTGAGTTTTTGGATAAAGGATGCTTAACCCACAGAATTTATTAGAGAACTCTAAAATCTGAAATACTTTTTGTTCTAGGCATTTCAGGTAAGGGGTCCTTAGCTTGTATAGCATCTCACCCTGGAGAGTGAGCAGTGTGTAAAGCAGTATGCCTGGTGTAAAGTGTCTGAGTGTGGGGGAACCTGCCTCTAATCCCAGCACTCTGGGAGCTGAGGAAGGAAAATAGCACATTTGAACCCAGCCCAGCTTGAAGTAGTTACAATAATTAAAACTGAATAAAGAAAAGAGAAGAAGAAAGAATAAATCAGGTGTTTTTTTTGGTGCTGGAAATCAAAACTCAGGACCCTGCACTTGCCAGGCAGGCGCTGGGCCACTGAGCTATATATCCCGGGCCCCAGGTCTTCTGATTGTCTTTTGGCCACACTATACTTTCTTACATGTATTCAGTGAACAGCCTTAGGCTTTAAGGAACTGCCTGCCTGAGTTCTCTAAGATAAATGCTTATATAATTAATGATAGCACTTTCATGTAATTTTGATTATTAAAGTAATACTAAGATAAGCATATAGAAATGTTATAAATATTCTCTATAAGGTCAATAAAAGTAAATTCTTATGTCCATTTAAGAAAAAAAAGGAACCAAGGAAACAACGGCTGCTTTACCAGATAATGGTAAACACCCCCACACACCTCCCCGTAAGTCATCCAAGGCAACCTCTCTTATCTAACAAGTTGCCAGGAAGGCTGCGGGGTATAAAGCCATCCACTAAAGCACTATGAGACACAAGCTTTTCATTTCTTCTATGGGAATAGTTGATGAAAAAGCATAAATTAATGACACTGAAGGAATTACCCACCATAATTCTTTAAAGTGTCTATCACAACATTCCAAATTACAGTTCTTACCCGAACACAGTGAGTAACAAAAGAGTCAATACAGTCCTTAGCCTGGTGATTATTATATAGGCAGCACCTGTAAGACAACAGTCACTTCATTAAAGTCAAAGGATCCGGCCTAGACAAAAGCAGCAGGGATTACTGTAGATGCCATTAGAAGAGAAGATGGGAAATGGAGAAAATGGAACCAAACACATTACTAAGCTGAAGAATGATAGCATCAGATTGAGAAGTATTTCACTACTGCTGTGCTGTTTGCATCTGTTAAATGGGTGATTATTGTCATCCCTTTGGTTTATACTTGGACAATCCAGATTGGTTCTAGTAAGACCACACAAGCAAGAGAAAAGGAAATCCTAAAGCCCTCACCTTTCCAAACTCTCCTCCAGTGTCATGAATTTTTACACAACTGATTACCTCATGGACAGTGCTCCTGAGAATAACAGCAAAGGAAATACTACAGAGAATCCTCTCAAAAAAGTGTCCCCATTTACAGCCACTGGCTATCCTACCCCAGTACACTCCTCTCACTGTGCATCTTCTGTCCTTACAAACTGGTCTCCTTGCCAGGTTCCTTATTCAAGTCAACAGCACTTCCCCTCAGTGCTAGGGATCAAAGTCATAGCCTCTTGCACACTAGCCAAGTGATCTACCACTAATCTATAGTCATACCCCTTTTAAAAATTTTTACTTCAAGACAGGGGTCTCCTCAAGTTGTCCAGGCTGTCCTCAAACTTTGGTATATGATCCTTTTGCCTCAGCTTTCCAAATAAGTGGGGTCACAGGCATGTACCACTTCTTGTCAATCGCTTCCTGAGCATTTCTTCCTAAATACCTGTTTCCTACCCCAGAGGAGCTGTAGAGGCCAAATATCGTTTGTTGTTCTTTTTTTTTAAAGTATCTGTGGAGATCACTAGGATTTTTTTGTTTCTTTTCTGGGTGGTTTTTTTTTTTTGAGACAGGGTCTCACTACGCAGTTCAGACTGGCCTTGAGCTCACTATGTAGTCCAAGCTGGCCTCAAACTTGTGGAGATCCTCCTGCCTCTGCCTCCCAGGTGCTGGGATTACAGGTGCTCAAGGATTTTTTTTAAAAAGCCAAAGAGACTTCCTTCTAGTGCCTCAACAGGGGTTGATAACTTGCTACTCAAAATGCTTACCGTTTTGGCAAGAACCACAAAGATAAACAGAGCCAGTCATGGAATGGAAAATAAGTAGGATACCCAGCAAGCCAGAAGGAATATAAAAGCAGAAACCCTGCTACAAGAGGTTGGTGAGATAAAAATTGCTGGAAGAGCTTTTAAATCTGTAACATCAAAGTACAAAAATATTATTTATACAGACTAAAATATACCACTTTTTAGAAAAAGGTTTTCTGGATCTAAAAGTAATTATTTTCAAACTTTAAGAATTTAGTAGATGAAAGATGTTCACTTTAAGCTTCAAGAAAAAGAATACTCTCACAACACAGCAAAAACAAGGAGATGACTGTTAAAGAGTTTCACAAGGGATCCAGAAGACCCAGAATACCAAATGTTTTTAAAAAAGGAAAAACAAACCATGAAGGTGAGGCAACAGTTAAGTTAGTAATAAAATGATATGATATGAAGAGTTAATACCTTACTGAGTTCCAAATTGATCATACAGTTAACAACACAATAAATATTACACAGCGGACTTCCTATGCAAGATTCACCATAACTGAGTAAAATCAGAAATAAGTAACAAAAAATTATCCTATCTTTACTTGAAATTTTAACAGATGATCTTTGGATTGAAAGAAAAAGAAAGAGAAAGGAAGGAAGGAATGAAGGAAGAGAGGAAGAAAGGAGAGGAAAGGGAAGAGGAGAAAAAACAGAGAACAGAACGAAAGAGGAAGGGAGGCAGGCAGGCAGAGAAAGAGATATCTTTAGAAAGCAATATAAAGATCCCTTTCTACTGAAATCTAAGCATAAAGCTAAACGAGAAAAAAAATGAACATCCTTAAATATCTCAATATAAAAAAAACTTCCAAAGAAAGATGTAAAAAATAACAATAGCTGGGGAGAGTGGTGCACACCTATAATCCCAGCACTTGGGCAGCTGAGGCAGGAGGACCTCCAGGAATTTGAGGCCAGCGTGGGCTACACAGTGAGTTCAAAGCCAGCCTGAACTACACAGCAAGACCCTGTGTAAAAAATAAAAATGAAAACAAAAAATTGGCCTTTTGAAAGACCTTAGTTACCTCCTTTCCCCAATGAATCATGTTACTTTCTATTAATCTGATCTCTGAAATAATTTTCACATCTGTCCTCTTCTTTATATTCCCAGAGGTTAATCCTTCATCATCTCTCACCTATATAAACAAATCAAGCTATCTACTTTATATGCAGTCACTCCTTCCCATTAAAAACCAATCATGCTAATTTCTTACTAACATCTTGCGTAGTTCTCATTGACAATCAAATAAACTCCAAACCGTACCGAAGCATTCAAGACTCACCCAAGTCTCATCCTAAACTGACTACCCATCCCCATTCATTTGCTCAAGAATTATTCACTATGTGCTTTTTTTGTGACACACTACACACTGGAGCATCAATACATACCAGTTAGAGTATTTCGCTACTGTGATACAACAGCCAACCCTACCTAGGTTCATGGAGTTTATATTCTAATTGCGGGGATGGGGAGAGAGGAAAAGAGAAGACAAATATACAAAGTACACTATACAATATGTAAAAAAGAAAATTTGTTATGGAAAAGAGAACTGGGGTGAAAGCACAGACTGCAGTTTTCAACTCAGGTGGCCAGGGTAGCTCTCTGAAGTAACACGAAACAGACTTAAATGTGACAAGGACATCAGCCACTGGGACTTTTGGGGAAAATGCTCCCTGTCTTCCATCCTGTGTAAAGACTCCGGGGCAAGAGAGTGAGCCTGTTACGTTCCCAAAACAGGGAAGAGGCCTGCATACCTGCTGCAAAGGAGAAGAGGGTGAGAACAGGAAGGAAGAGGAGGAAAGGCAGAGCAGGAATGGGGTAGGCATGCAGACCTGAGCACTCTGGGCTCCGTCATATGGATCATAGCTTTTACTGTGGATGAAATGGGGACTGCGACTGCCACTGTGACAGCCTCTGCATGCCATCCCGTTCAGACTCCTATGACATGATTTTAGGGCAGTGACTCTACCACAGCATAGTTTAAAGATCAATTATTTGCATTTAAAAAGTTTATCTAGACTCAAGTCATTGAGAAGAGACCTTATTTTTTATAAGGTTTATTCCCTAAACTGCCTAACACAGTGCTTTGTAAAGGTCCACAACAAAGTACTGAATTTTTTTTTTTTAAATCTAACGTCAACCTTATAAAAACCTTAATTTAAATCTAAATAATATGTGGCAGAGATGAATTAATTTTAACATGATTATGTTACTTTTAATACTGAGACTTTATCTTATCCTAAACAATTTTTATACTTTGGCTGTACAGAAGGGAGTGGAGAGAAGCTCAAGTTTTACAAGAACACATACACTCTAAAGTGTCTCATATACTTACTTGGGGGAAAGCACCGGAGGACTGACAAAAGACCGAAGGGCATCTTTAACCATGTCTTGCATGAGATGAGTTCCAAAGACCTTTTTGTTATCCACCAGGAAAGTGGTCTTAAAGCAAGTATTACATATCACTTTAGTTATGTACGTACTAGTAGTACTGCCAATAATATTATCATTATTGAGGCATAAACATGCTACAGTAACTATAAATACTACAGAACACAAAATTAAAATACAAAAATTGTTGGAAAATTTTTATAAATTATTTATCCACATGGGTATTGTTTATTAATCCTTACTTAAGGTGAAATGCAATGTAAGGAAACAAAAAATATACAGAAATAAAAATCTCAAGTCAAGAATAGCTGTAAAAACTGAAGAAGTCAATGAACTGATCAAATACGTCAAAAGTGTTAATGTGTAAGCAAACGTTTCACAAATTATGAGACATCAAATGGTTATATATATGAATTATTCCATAATAGTTTTGCTGTTTTATTTGAAGTTTTGGGGATCAAACTGTTAGGCCTTGTGCATACTAGCATTGCTCTGTAATATACTTTTCTAAAAATGGAAAAAATATATTTTAAAGTTCACATTTAATGATAACTTGCATTTAATTTCCTCCCCTTAACAATCCCAGAGTATTTTAATATTAATATAAAGACCCTGACTTCCTAATACTGTAAGTTTACACAAAATACACAGTTTTTGTTGTATTGTTCTTAAATTCTCAAAAATGCATTGTTTACCTACTACCACAATCAAGACACAGAACAACTAAATGATCACCAAAACATTCCCTCATGGGAGCCTTCTGAAGTCAAAACTACCCCATCCAGGGGCTGGGGATTTAGCTCAGCGGCACAGTGCCTGCCTGGCAAGCGCAAGTTTGTGAGTTCAATTCTCAGTACCGGAAACCCCCACACCAAAAAACAAAACAAAACAAAACAAAAAACTACCCCATCCAAACCTCAGGCAACCACTGATATGCTCTCTGGTGCTATCATTTTGCCATTTCCAGAATGTTACTAAGATTAAATCAGATGCTTTTTTAATTTGGCTTCTTTCACCTTTTATAATGGCAGAGGCTGACATGCGCTGTTGAGCATATCAATACTGTACTTCATTTCTTTGTATTTCTAAGCAGTAGTCTACTGTCTGTATCGCATCCACCTATCACCTTGAGAACATCTGAGTTGTCTCATGTTTGTGATCATGAACCAACAGTTCTAAGTATTTGTGCAGAGGCTCTGGAGAATGTCAGACTTCCTTTTCTTGGGTAAACAACTAGGAGTGTGACTTGCATGTTTAACTTTTTAAGAACGCCAAATTGTTTTTGAAAGTGGCTGAACCATTTCACACCACCAAGACGTATTTTCAAAAAACATATTCTAAAAGGTGGATAGTATTTCATTGTGACATAATATGCATTTCACTAATACTATGCTGAACATCTTTTCATAATTTCAATATTTTTCCATTTTAAAATTTAGTGTATTTCTTAAAGAATTTTCGTGTTTTAGATCAAGTCCTATGTCAAACATACAATTTGTAAGTATTTTCTCCTACTTTGTATTTTCTCCTACTTTGTAGCATCTCTTCTTTAACAATGCCTTTCACAAACAAGTTTTTAACAGTTTAGTTTTCTTCTATGGATTAAACATTTGGGGATCACACAAAAGAATTGTATTTTTTATAAGTTTACAGGGAATTTTTTCTTTAAAGTTTTATGGTTTTATAGCTGTGCATGATATTGCACACCTGTAATCTCAGCACTCAGGAGGCTGAGGCAGGACGATCACAGTGAGTTTGAGCTACATAATGAGTTCAAGGTACATAGTGAGTTCAAGTGAGTTCAAGTTCCAGCCTGAACTACATAGCAAGACCCTGTCTTAAAAAGACCCAAAAGAAAAGTTTTATGGTTTTGCATTTTTTAAACTTATGACACATTCTGAATCATTTTTAATATGCCTGTCCAAATTGTTCTTGCACCATTTGTTGAGAAGACTATCATTTCTCTTTTGAAGTACCATTCTACCTTTGTAAAAAAATAGTTAACCATTTTTGGATCAATTACTTGATCACATTAATAACCAATAAAGGATTGACTAGCCAATAAAAGATTACATGCTATATATGTCTATATATAATAAAGGGTCAGTTTTTTTAAAAAAAGGTTTTCTCTTTGCTTCTACTAAATTGTGGGTCCATCATTTTGCCAATATCATATGTAAGACAATAGTGTCAGTTCTCCCCCATTTTTTAAATTGTTTGTGCTAGTCTAATTCCTTGCCTTTCCATAAAAATTTCAAACTAAATTCTTGACAACTACAAAAATTCATGTGATTTTGACTGAGAAAGTTCTGACTTTGGGGGAAATTAACATCTTAAAATTTTCATGTGGGGGATGTAGCTCAGTGGCACAATGCCTGCTTGGCAGGTGAGACCAGAGTTTGATTTCTGTACCCCACCCCCCTCAAAAAATTAATCCTTTCAATCCATGGATAACATTTCTCTAAATCTAAGATAATTTCTTTCATTAATATTTTACAGCTTTTCAGTACACAGGTCCTACACACAACTGGTTAGACTTACACCTAAGTATTTCAGTTTTTCAATGTAAATACTGATCTCCCGTTACTATGTTCTGTTTCTATGTTCATGCCAAGTACATAGAAATACAACTGTTTTTGAATACTGACATCATTCAGCCTGTGCATCAGCTCTAGGAACAATTTTGTAGTGTCTCTGGCATTCTCCATAGCAAAGTGTGTAATCTGTAAGTAGATACTATGCCTTTTATGACTTCTCCCTGCTTTCTTACACTGGCTAAGATGTCCAGTGAAGAAGACAGTGATGACAGTGGAGTGAGGAAAGGAATCTCCTTGCTTTCTTCCTAATCTCAGAAGGAAAATATTTAACCTTTCCTCATTAAGTGTGATGCTAACTGTAAGTGTTTTTGTATATGCCTTTTATCAGGTAAAGGCAGTTCTCGTCTATTTCTGCTTTGCTCACTTTTTAATCATAAATAGATGCTGAACTGTGTCAAATGTTCTTTCTGAGTCTACTAAAATGTTAGACTGCACGGTGAATTACAACGACTTTCAAATGTTGAACCAGGCTTGCATTCCTGGGATAAACCCCACCTGGTTGCTTTGCTTTTTTTTATGCATTGCTAGATTTGATTTGTTAATACTTTGTTCAAGTTTTTTACATCTGTGTTCATAAGGGATCCCGGACTATAGTTTTAAATGTTATGTTGGTTTGGTTTTGGTGCTGAGTTGCTGCTGGCCTCATATAATAATTGTTCTAGCATCTTCTATTTTCTGGAAGGGATTGTGTGGAACTGGCCTGGAATTTTTATTGTTAGGAGGTTTTGAACTGTGAATTCAATATTTGATGGATAGAGGATTATTCAAATTATCTTTTCTAAGTGAGTCTTGGTAGTTTCTTTTAAGAAATAGGCCCATTTTATCCAAGTTTTTTTAGTTTATGGGCCTAAGAGTTACGTATAAAAATTTCATGTGATTTTATAAATTTGTACAAGGTTTAGATTAACACCGCTTTTACCATTCATGATAATCACATGTATCTTTTTTTCTTATTCTGTCTAATTCGAGGTTCATTAACCTTACTGACATTTTCTAACAACCAGATTTCAGTTCCACTGTTTTTCCCTCTACTAGCTTTCACATTTTATTGACTTCTGAGCTTTACTTTTGTGTTTTCCTTCTTTCTGCTTACTTCACTTTGCTCCTTTGTCTCATTTCTTAAAGTGGGGGCTTAAATCACTACTATTACATCTCCTTTCATAATATAAACATTTAATGATACAAATTTCCGGCTAAGAATTGCCTTAGTAGAATCCCACAGATTTCAGTGTTTTTTATTTTCATTCAGTTCAAAATTTTTAATTTCCCTTAGGACTTTCATCTTCGATTAGGAAGATATATATAAGAGTGTTTCTTAATTTTCAAGTTATTTGGAACTCTTTCCAAATAGTTTCCTCTCGGATATGAGGGTGGTCTGGCTGCAACATCTGTCACCCTACTGACTGCCAGGGTTGACTTGGCTCCGTGAGTGTCAGTCATCTTCCTTCCTCAACACTCAATGTGCAGCTCTTGAAGCTGCACGCTTGGTCAAAGAGAACCAGCCACCCTGATAGAGGATGTTTCCTCAGTCAAGGGTATACGAGTAGCTGCACTCCCCTGCTAGAACCTCCAAACAAGTGCCCACACAGCTTTCTCTTAGTGATTACTACTTTAATTTTAAAGTTATCCGAAAGTTATTTTTAGGATTTCAATTGTTCTAAAATTACTAGAGTATGATCTCAATGACTGCCTATCATTCTAAGTCAACATTCTGATTTAAAAATGTACAATAATGTGGAATAGCCTTTAAAAGCATCTTTTGTTTATCAGTCAATAAAACGTCATCAACCCATATATAACTGAATGTTTACAGCAGTGCTTGATAGTAAGTGCAACTTACTTGTAACAGTGATCTTGAGAGAACACATGGTGACTGTTCACTAAATTCACAGAAAAAATCCTAACAGACACACAGAAAAAAATAATGTCACTCAGATTAAATAATAGCAGAAAACACTGACATCTACTATAGTTTTTGTAAATGATATGCTACTAGAGCTAAAATATGATGAACAGTTAAAGGTCACTACTATAGGAATTGTATAAGTATATCAAGAGGACAATGGATAACTTTAGAACCTAAATTTTTTTTTTCTTTTTGGGACAGGGTCTCACTATGTAGTTCAGGCTGGCCTTGAACTCACTATGCAGCCCAGGCTGACCTTGAACTTGCAGCAATCCTCCTGCCTCAGCCTCTCGAGTGCTGGGATTACAAACATGCAATATCACACTCAGTCTCAAAATTTTTTTGAAGAACTAATCAGAACTGTGTAGATAGCAATATTACATTTGTACACAATAAAATATCAGTAATAATTTGCTAACTAATGGCAGAACTTTAGCTCCTACTCAAAGAAATAAGTATTGATCAACAGGTCAAATGGATTTCTATTACTATTGTAGATTTGGAGAAAGACCAAAAGGTATGGCTTTAAAACACACAGAGAAAAAAGAAGACAAAATACACCAAAATATTAACACCTATAGATTGTGGGACAGCAGTTTTTATCATCTTATTTCTCTACACCTGCCGAATTTTAGAGAAAAAAATGTATTTATTTTAATATTTGGATGTGGGATTACCTGGGATAGATATCTATGCCAAGGAACCCTATGCTACAGCTGTAGCTGGAGACAACAAAACAGAGGACTTAGAGCCTCTTCTGGCGAGCAGGAATTGCTACGGTAGCTGTCGCCACTGCACACTCCCTACAAAGGCAGTGCACTCCCAACGCCCAAGCACAGTGCTCATCAGCACTCAGAGGTGCATCCACCACAAGCCTATCTGCCATCCCAGCTCCTACCAAGAAAGTCAGTACTACTACTAAGCTGGGGCCCTCCTCATTCTATTCCTATGCAACACCCCACACAGGGAGGGACGGAAAGACAGAGGGGAGAGTGAAGGAAGGGAAGACAATCATTTAGGTCATGACTATTTCAGAAAGGTTTCCTTTTTCTCCAGGAACTGCTATTCCCCCTGATAAGTATCTCATGACTCTTGACTTCCCTATTCTATCCAACACTGCATCTGCAATTTGGTTTTTCATTTCTTTTTTTCTGAGACGAGGTCTCACTAGGTGGCCTGAAACTCACCATCCTTCTGCCTCAGCCTCCCAGGTATTGGGATTGTAGGGCATGCCACACCTGGCTTCTTTCCTTTTATAAAGAAGAAATAAATAAGCCTGTACTACTTTATTACACTTGCTGGTGTTTTTTGTTTTTTTTTTTTTCTTTTTTGGTCACACTAGGCATTAAACACAGGATGTCATACCATGCTACCAGGCCTCTATCATTGCACTACATTGAAAGTCCTTTCTATTTTTTTACTTTGAGACAAGGTCTCACTAAGTTTGAAGGTTGGCCTTGAACTGAAGATCTCCCTGTTCTGGTTTGTGTCTGGATGTCCCCCCAAAGCCTCATGCAGTCATGGGGCACTGGGCTTTTTGGGAAGCAGGTGAATTTAGAGTTTGTGATTGGTTCATTGTCTAGTGCTGGTATTGGTGGTATGAATGCTACACATTCCCTAGGGCAGGTAGCCTGCACACAAGATAAGGGAGGGAACAGGCTTGTTTCTCTCTTTGCTTTTGTTGCTTTTGCTGCCTTCCATAGCCATGAATTGTTGTCCCTCTGCCACATGCCACCCTGCCTTGGAGTCAGATTATGGACTGAAACTCCTGCATCTATGAGCCAAACAAACCTTTCCTCCTTTAACTTTGGGTGTTGGGTATTTTTGCTCAATAATGAGTGAAAAGTAACTAAGACACCCTCTGACTCAGATTCCCATACAGGGATTAAAGTGTGCACCACCCCCTCTGGCTTACACTCATTATCTTTAAAAGAGCACACATTCTAGCTCCTTTACTTCTCTTCTCTGTCTTTAAATTTTACACTCCTCAAAACGAATGTTCTCTCCCAGAAATACTACCTTTCTTTCTATACCACAAAGGAAACAAAAGGAAGAGCAAACTGTCAGCCTCAGCCTCAAACCACCAACTGTACGCATATTATCCCTTCCCTGTCTCAACAATAAATTGTACTAAAGACACCAGCTTTTTCAGGAATATTAATGCAGTGTCAACGATACATCCTCCAAGCCCCCAGAGAGCAAATTCTCCTCTCTACTGGACCATTATCATTTACATTATGGCCCAGTGTCTCCCATCTTTCACATGTTTATCTCCCTCTCAACGGCCTTTGGCCCAAACCTCCCAAGGGAGACGCTGCATCCAATGTCTTTACTCTCCACCATCAACATGCTAATGTGTCTCTTAGTGGTTGCCACCACTGTCTCCCTCACTAATTCCAGTGGACATTCGTTTAGGAACTGAGTGACCTCTCAGTAGAATTTGAAACTTTTTTCTTAAAAAACCATTCAAGCAACTTCCAAAATTTCTTTCTCTTTAGCCACTTGTTAGTCTGACCTGTAGGCTTAAAATTTAGTCCTAGACCTTCTTTTTCTTAATCTATACTCTATTTGACAATTTTAATACTGCTCATGTTTCACTTACCACCTATACTGTAAAAGGTCAAACTTGTATCTCTTAGCAAAGAACTTTAACACATTCCTGCTGGCTAGAGCCTGCATGACTGTACCACCAGTGTTTCAAAACCGCCAGGCAGTGAATTATATAGCCCCATCACAAATGTGTTAATTTCTATCTGTTACCGTTTGTGTCTGGATGTCCCCTCAAAGCCTCATGTGGCCATGGGGGATGGGCTTTTTGGAGGCTGTTGAATCTAGAGTTTGTGATTGATTCATGGTCCAATCCTGGGATCAAGGGTGTGAGTGCTATACCCTAGGGCAAGTAGCCTACATACAATATAAGGGAGGGAAAGAGGCTTGTCTAACTCTCTCCCGCTTGTTGCTTTTCCTGTCTTCTGCCACCATGAACAGTTGCCCCTCTGCCACGCTACCCTGCCTTGGAGCCAGCTGACTATGGACTGAAAGAAACCTCTACAAACTGTGAACTAAATAAACCTTTTCTCCCTTAATTTTAAGCATCAGGTATTTAGTCTCAGCAAGGAGAAAAGTAACTAAGACACTATCCATATGGCCAATACCAACATCTATGCTTAAATATTTTCAAAAGCTTAAAGATATTTTCAAAAGCTTAAATCCAACTTCAATAAAACCTCTGTGAGTTCCACTGTTTCGATGACTAGTACCAGCATGTATCCAGACTTGAGGTCAGAAACTTGGAAGTATTAGTAAAGGCTTTACTCGTGCTCCACGTGCTCATCACCAATGTTCTGTCAACTTGGCTGACACATAGCTCCAGCATTAACAAGCTCACATCATCTTCCTGTCAACCTTTTAGTTCAAATTACCACCATCTCTTCTCTGGACTACAGTAAGGGTTTTTTAATTTGATTTCCTGTGTTTACTCTGGTCCCCTGCCAATCTTTTCCACAGTGCACCCACTATATCTTTGCAAATTCTTAATGCAATACTACTATCCATTAAGTACTGACCCTACATAAATCTCTTCCTGGCTTTCCTTTGCCCTCTGATAAAGACCAAAATCCTGAATGTCACCTAAATGGCTTGCCTGGTCTGTGTAATTCTCCAGCTTCACCAAACCCAACTCCCCCACTCCATATTCCATGTTCCCAGCTTTCTCATATTGTAGTTCCTAAATTATCTTGTGTTCTTTCTCTTCACAAGGCAGTACGTTCAGCTTCCTTCACCTGGAACTGTCAACCCCAATCATCCTAACTAATGTCTACTCAACTGTGAGATTTTACTTTGCCTTCCCTGATCACCTTGGTCATTCCTTCACTGTGTTCCTTTCCCTCACATCACTATTCTGCTGAGTAGTTGTATAACGATTTTTATAACTGTATGAGCAATTTCTCTCTCACACTAAACTGTGATGATATGCTTTTGCTCATCAATGCACAAAGAAAATGCCCAAAGATAAGTTGCTGAGTTGATGAATGCATGTTTACTTTCATAGTTTCACCTGTACTCTATTTCTGCCTTTCTTTGCTTCCTTTTTTTTTGATGCTGGGGATTGAACCCAGGGCCTCATATGTTCTAGTCACTCAGCTACATCTTTAGCCTTCATTTCTGCATTTCTTACTCCTGGTACATATCCACAAGACAGCATAATCCACAGTTTATTATGCAATGCATTTAAACTGAATGGTCTTCCTAATAATTCCACAGTTGTCATTCTGGACTGTTAATCTGAGTTTCTCTTTACTAATTTCCTTATCCTCCTCTTTGCCATTATGTTTCCCCCATATGTAAAGCATCAAAAAGCTAGAAATGGCAGAAAAATACAAAACACAAACTACTGTTCAGTATCCCACCACTCCAGAAATATAATATTCTAGATTTAAACCTTTTTTTTAACTCCATCTCTAGCAATGTTTTCTTTTGTGTGTAAGAGAATGTGTAAGTCGGTATATGTAGTCTTCTTAAACAAAACAACATTCATAACATCTCATGTCAATATTTCTCTAAAATATGCTTTTTAATGGCTATATGGTATGTATCCTACACATACCATAAAAATGGATAGACTCTTTAATATATCTTTGTATCCACTTCAATTATTCTACACCATATCTCTAGAATTGTAGAGTCAGAAAATACACAGCTTTAGACTTCTGAGATATAACCACGGGAGTGTGGGAGAATGACTATTTCTCTTTATCAACATTAAACAGTACTGTACTTTCCAATCTAATTTATCTCACCCAGATGTATGTATTTTTATTAGTAATTTGGCACTTTATCCTAATAGTTAATAGCAACAGATTTCTTATGCACACCCAGACTATCTAGTTCCCTCCCTCCCTTCTCCTGGCCTCTGTCACACATCCCCACCACTATCAGTTCCTGTGGCACGTCCTTCAAGCAGTCACAGTCCTTCCTTACTATGCCCTCTTCATATCTAGCACCCACAGCCCAAGCATAGCTCCTCTAGCACCCTTCCATCATGGCATGCCATTACACAGTCATCTCCCTGAACAGCAATCCATAATTTTCAGTTAGAAAACCAAGGACCAGTGAAGCCCTGTCTGGGTTGAGGAATACTGAGTTTCTCTGCTGCTCTAGAATATCTCTGGTGATAATAATCAGACTAGGTAGGGAAGGTACAAGATAGATGGAAACTGAATCCATAATCACAAGGTTCTAGTATGTACACGTAATGATAAGAACTCATTATTGTATTGAGAAAATCACTAATCCTACAGCTGATTATGGATATTCAAGAACTAAACGTAAATAAAACAAAATTTTATTTATCTATATGATAGTATACATTATAATAATTTATATCAATTATTTCCTATGTATGCTAATTCTCATGTACTGAAATGATAAATATAAATATGTAAAATTAATTTTTCAATGTTTTATGTGATGATTCTATCCCTACCAGCCAAATTCTGGGCTTAGGGTTCTCATTACCTTTCACCTGCATTACTAAGCTACAAGAATAACTTTCACTTGTATCATTTCACTTCTCACTCAATAACATACAATGGAACCACAATCGAAAATCAAAACATTAGGTTTTGCCTAATACTGGTTTACTTTCATTAACCATAATTAACCACTGAACTTCTGAATTCTTAACAAAACACTTAGAATATCCTTCTTACTGACCACACTGCTCACATTCCCAGAAAGATCCTTTTTCTTACTTTTCATTAGCAATGTGTTACTCATTTCTCAGGACTGAAGTCAAATTCCAGCCATGTTCACATGTGTTTCCCTATTCTAAAACTCTACTGCATATGCAGGACACTGAAGTGTGTATTAGATCATCTAAGTAGAAGGGAAAGGTAGAAATACAAACCCTGTCATATATTATCTAAACCCAACTACATTTTTATGTGTTACTTTATAAGTCTTAAGAGATTGCGAATCTTAAAGAATTATCAGTCATTATATATTCTTACATATGGACCAAGATATAAATTATCAGCATGATCTACTTATTGAAAACAAAATTCCAAAATTTGGGCATTTTGATACCTACAAAACTTATTACGCTGTACTTCCTCTAATCAGGCGTATACTAAAATAGCAATAACTGAACATAGAGTGTTTCTGTAGACTGAGCTAGGACAGGAGTATACACACTCTTTGCTTTGTCCTATAATACTTGATAATGAATAAAACAAACAAAAAACCCCTTCATTTAACATCCTCAAAACTCTGATGAGTACATATTAAAAACAATGCCATCCAGGCATGGTGGCGCATGCCTGTAACTCCAGCACTTGGGAGGCTGAGGCAGGAGGATCACTGCGAGTTCAAGATCAGTCTGGGCTACAAAGTAAGCTCAAGGCCAGACCGAACTGCACAGCAAGACCCTGTCTCAAAAAGACAAAAAAACAAACAAAAAAAAAACAATGCCAAAACAACAGTGTGAGAGTAAAAAAGCCTCCCTCACCTTCAGCTTAGCCTCCATAGTCACAAGCAAAGTACCTACAGATGTGGGTGAGAGGCAGAAGTATGTCAGAAGTACATGCAAAGGTTGCCATGACCCTCCCCATTTCTCAATCCTACACCAGCTCAAAACCGGAACTATGTATGCAATCATTCTTTAATACAGCTTGCAGAAAAATGTCCAAAAGATCACTGACAACAGCTCAGCAACCTATCCTGATAGAAACTACTACGAATTCCCTGAAATGCCTGGAAGGCACCACAGTCTTCTCAGAGGGCTTCATGACTATGATTGGTGTGTTATCATGAAGTAACAGAAGGCTGTCAGTCCCATGGCTTGTTTCATTTCAGAAAAAAAATGCCATTTGTCAACTAAGAATAAAACAGAACTGACAAAACAATATACACGTGAAGAGTATTACAGGATATAAAACAATAAAATGGGTTGCTTGTACGTCAACATCTTATAATTAATCTGATGAACATGAATATACACCCAGGTAACAATTAGGATTAGGAAAGTAGACACAGCAGAAAGAATAAGAAAATCTATTCTAATTTCTTCTATGGAATTAGAGTCATCTATTTCAACTCTAATTTGACTCTGAACCTCAACTTGTTTATCTGTGAAATAGCCTGCAAAATGAACTGCGTTTATGACTATGGTCTATTTCCTACTTTACATTTCTACAATTGGACAGAATCAGGGCAATCTACTAAAAAGAAAGCAAGTACAACAGAAGGTAAAGGCACTTTTACGGAGCATCACTAAGGAATGAGGATTTAAATTGGGCTTTAATGACAAGGAATTAATGGAAGAAAAGATAAAGGTATTATAATGAAGAGCACAAATAATAGCACAAATCTTTAGTGACCATCAACTATTTCCCAGAAACTACTACCTAATGTAGAAATATAAACTAGATACTTGTGATCTCAAGGGAGGAACATAGAGTGAAAACCTTCAACCAAGAAGGGAGGCTCCACCAAAGGCAGGCTGTGAGCTAGGGACACAAGTATGCAACGTCACAAGGCAAATGCAGTTATGCAACACATATTGGTATACTTAAGTCCTAAGAAAACAGTATTATCTTACAAATTTTCTACTTTATTAACCTTACATATGCCACTATACCTTTACAATTGAAAAGCACCATTCCTCAATTTTTTAATATTCTCCAAATAAACCTTGTTTTTCTGTATTTTAACACATAAAATTGATAAACTGCAAAATATGGGAGCTTAAAAATGTGTGTGCTCTTTCACTCTTACAACCTCATGCTTTAGGAATTTATCTTTAAGGGGGAAGGAAGTATATGATACAGATTTACATACAAAGGTATTCATCTTTATATTGTTCATAACAATGCAACACTGAAAATGACCTAATGATCTAAATGTAACTTAATATGAAGGAACTCAAAAAACCTGTACTATAAGCTCACAATGGAATACCTTATAGTCATTAAAATAACAAATAAATACATATTTGTGACATAAAGATGTCTATGTATTGAGATTTACAATTTAAAAAAAGGTTATCAAACATCAGCCCATTTTTATATCTAAAATTAGTTACACAGAAACACATATTTATGCGTACATATACACTCTTATAAGGGTTTAAAAGAATCCAGGATCGAAATTCCATTCCTATAACTTGGGTGAATGAGTTAACCTCTAACTTTACTTCTTAATGTCTAAAATAGGTAGTATAAACTCCTTATAAAGATTAAATGGAATGTATATACGCATGTACATCTATGTAACACATATGGTCATACACACATATATAAGTATAAACTATTCTGTTATTAAACCAAAGTTACATTAGAGAAATACAGACTTGTACTTACCAGGATACAATGTAAATTTGTTAAGTTCACAACCTCACACACAGTTTTTATTCTATCTATTAATCTTGCAAAATAGTTAACCATTTCTTCCCTTTTAATTATTTTTGCATATCGAGGGAAGGTGGGTGGAAGTAGCCTCTGGTTAACAAGGGGCTCAAAACCCATCATAATTGGATGATCTAAAAAAGAGAGAGAAGAAAAGATTTTCAATGTCCTTCTGAATTTTAAACTGAAAATGCTACTAAATGTAAAATTAAATGCCAATTTCAAAGGCATCTTAAAACAAATTCTAATTACAAAATCCCATGGACACTACAGTTTGTAATTACATACACTTTTCAAAAACTAGGATAAGCAGATTTAACAATTTGAAAACTGTATTCCTTATCTACATGGTGGTAGCTCTAGTGACAGGGATCTCTAATTCAAAATGAACTTTAAATCAAGAATAGGGTAACAGGGCAAAGTAATCTCTCCAGCAAGAGGAAATGCTGCACTAGGCCATGAGACCACGAAGAAAAGTAAAATGCAAACATGCAAGCTTCTCTTTCCCTCAATTTGCTGAACAAAGCAACACTTCAAATTTAGCTTCCTAACAATCCAGAATAGCAGAACAAACCAGCCCCCAATGAGTCCTGAATGAATCTGAGATATAATTATAGAAAGCTAACACATTTTAAGAAGAACATTCTGAGAAACCTGAGGGTGAGTTGTTGTTTTTTTTTCCATTCTCTGCCTGGTGAGCTCACATTTCACACCAGTATAAAGCTTCAAACCAAGTCTTTCCCAACCTGCTACAATGAGGGATCCACAGCCCAGAACTAAGAAGCAATTATAAATTTTGGATTCTAAGTTCTCCTGCTGGTCTACAAACAAACTACTACCTATAAACGAAAGATTAAAAACTGGGTATGCTTGTCATCCCACCATTTTTGGAGGCTCAAGCAAGAGGATTCGAAGTTTAAGCCCTGCCTGGGGAGGTAAGCAAGATCCTATTTCCAAACTTAAAAAACAATCAAACAATAATGATGGAGGGCTGCAGCGGAGATGGGAAGGGGATGAAAGAAAAAAGAATTTAGATGTGTTATGCACATATAACAACTCCCCCACAAGGAATGTAGTTATTATGTACTACAAATGTATACTAAATAAATTAATTAAATTAAATTTTAAAATTATAAAATTAAAGCAGAGCAAGTATATCATTAAGAATTAAAAACAAGACTGACAATCAAATTATAACAATACTCCAACCATACCTACACAGCTCTTGTGTGTTTTTTGTTGTCTGAAATGCTGGTGATTGACACCAGGAATTCATGCATGCTAGGCATATGCTCTTACCACTGAGCTACATCTTCAGTCCTATTCTTTAAGATCATGCCAACAAAGATGTGCCACAGGTGCGTAGTGTTCTCATTCTTCTATCAAATTCTCCCTGCCTAAAGTTACTTATTATCACAGGAAAGTGCTCTACAATATCCTGCTATTCCTATAAAATTTTTTTTCTATTCCAGTGGAAGATTATTGTTAGACTGACTATGGGACTATTTTACAAATTTATCATTTATAGGTAGCTAACAGATATGTAAATTTCATCCTGACAGATTCACCGATTTGTATCCCATTCTACAGGAAAAGTCTTGCTATATATATGTAATTCAGTTCAACATTCCATTACTTCAGATAAATTTGTGCTATTTAAAATTTTTCACTTGAACTGGTTACAAGGTCTCATTTAACAAATCTAATTAAATCCATGACACATACTCATTTTTATATTTGTATGAGAACCTGGTTTTACCTTCTTCTAAAAATAGTCCTTGAACATTCTCTATTCCTTAAGCACTGTACACTCTACACAGTGATTCACAAATATGTTCTACTAGGCTTCTTTCCTTTTCTGCAACTGTTTCCTCCAACTACAGTAGAAACCCTATCTGTATTCATTCCTACCTAGTAGACCTGATACAGGTTGAATGCTTTCTCCTGGGTTCTCTAGTAGCACTGTGTATGCACACTACTATGCTGTTTGTGTGGGCTTATGTAATTTTCCACCCCAACTCCCAGGTCTTTGGAAGCAGCAACTGCCCTATGTCCCAAACAACTAAACACCTGGCTCATAACAGGCACTAGAAATATATCTGCTGAATGATAAGACACACATACAGCATGCTGAAGATAGAAGAGTTATTACCATTCCAATGAAACAAGTTTGAACATCTGATTTGTAACACTTGCAATTCCACTGATCTCTTAGAACTACCTACTATTCCAAGTTCCTCTCAGGTATAAGTGATTACATATATAGGTATGTAAATATATATATGTATTTTTTAAAAACTATTTAGGTATGACTGAGATACAATGCAATGCAAACATTAAATGTACAGCTCAGTATCTTTTTTTTTTTGGTACCAAGAGTCAAACTCATGACCTCGCACTTGCCAGTCAGGCACTGTGTCGCTGAGATATATTCCCAGCCCCACAGTTCAACATCTTAAAAAATATGTACAGTCATGCAACTGCCACAGTCAATATAAACCCTAAGGAATGAGGGTTTATAAATCCTGAAAGGTTTCCTGTGTCTTATCAATCACTCCCATGTCCCAAATCATGGAATCTGTCTCTACAGATTAATTTACCATTTTCAAAAACAAAAGAAATTGTGTATTTATATTCTTTTACACCTGACTTCTTTTACTGAGCATGCTTCCAAGATTTAACCATTGTGTTCCATTTATCTGTTTCATTCCTTTTGATTACTGCAAACTATATTTCATTTTATGGACAGACCACAATTTGTCCGTTCATATATATCCCTCTCTTTAAAAGATGAATATATTACTAATCTGCTTAAGGTGAACTTTCTTCTTTTGAAATAATCTCAAAAGCTCATAGTAAAGTTATAAATATAGTCAGTATCAAATCATCCTCAAAAAATGTGTTACTCCTACAAAGACATACTCTTACATGACTAAAATATAACCATCAGAATTAAGAATCTAACACTACTACTTTAGGCCTCATTCACGTTTTGTACCCTGTTCCAACAACAGTCTGCATACCCATGTAAGTATCACAGCTGCATTTGATTTCACTGTCTTTTATTCTCCCCCAATCTGAACAGTTCAGTCTTTGCTTGACATCCATGATTCTGAAATCACTGAACACTAATAGATTAGTAATTCTGTACACTGCCTTTCCAGGTAGGTTTGTTTTAAATCTTCATGATTAGATTCACGTCACAAATCTCTGGAATGTCTCATAAATTATGATACTCTTGTCAAATGTTGTGGTACACGCCTATAATTCTAGCATTCAGGAGGCTGAGGGAGGAGGAATGTCAAAAATTTAAGGCCACCCTGGGGTTACATAGTGAGTTCAAGGATAGCCTACATAGTGAGATGCTGTCCTAAAAACCAAACCAAAACAAAACAAAAACTATGTCAGCAAAGTGATTATTTGACTCACTACTGGTGGTATTAACTTTGGTCACTCGATTGAGGCAGTGTCCAATATGCTTTCTCTTTATAGTTACTCCTTTTCCTTTTGTAGTTAATAAATATCTGGGGCATATCTACATAAATAGGCTCATCATCATTAAACAGCCCATTCATTCATTTATCTTATATTAGTATGGAACAACGGCTTCCTCTTTTATTCAACAGGTCATAATCTATCACAATTACTTACTTTGATACTCACATTTTCCCTAATTTGTCCTGGATGAGTATCCCTTCAAGATGTTTTCTGTGTGCAGTTAGAATGTTCTATCTTTTTTTTAGTGTTACTCACTTCTGACATAAGATGTTCTAGCTTGATCTAGTTTTGTTCCTGTCCTACCAATGAAATCAGCCAGTTCTCCCAGATGCCCGTGTTTCTTTTAGTGGATGAAGGTCTTTAACAAGCAAGATCTCAAAGCTATTATGCTTACTTCTACTGAGGTTAGTTCTGCTCCTAGACTCTCTAGAGGATACGTATTTACTTCTCTACCAATCTATAGCTACTGGAAAGTATGAGACTACACTTATACCTTTACCTTCAACCCAAGTTCAGTCTTGTTTTCTCCCTTTCCAGGAATCAGCGTAACTCAATCCCCCAAATTAGCACCTTATATATATTTTAATATTATTAAATTAATATTGTAGTATCCATGTAAAATAAATCTTCCCTTGCATTACTTTCTAGGGTTGCTACAACAAGACCCTACAAGTTGAGTAGCTTAAAGCCACATTCATTCTGTCACACAAGTTCAACATCAGCTTCTAGGGGCTGAAATCAATGAGTCAGCAGGGCAGTACCCTGTCCAGAGGTTCTGGGGGTGAACTGTTCGTTGCCTCTTCCAGTTTCTCATGCCTGTTGGCACTGTCTGCATTATAATACCATGCCAATCTCTCTCCTTACCTTCACATGACCGCCTCTTCTCTGTGTGCCTCACCTTTGTCTGCCTCTCTTTTCGAAGAACACTTCATTTAGGGTCTACCCAGATAATACAAGATTATCTCAACGAAGATCTTTAATCACATCTGTAAAGACCCTTTATCCAAAAGTAACATTTATAGGTTTCAAGAATTAGGACTCCCACAAGGAATGTAAACGTTATGTACTATAACCATTTAAAAAAAAAAAAACCAAAAAACATTACGGGTTGTAACCAGAAAAAGAGAACAAGAGAAAAAGAAGACCTTAATATCTTTGGAGGCTTCATTTTACCCACTATAATCTATCACAGACAGAGCAGGCAACCATGACCTCCACTTTATGGGGAGAGTCATCCTGTTACCCTGTCTAAGCCCCCAAACCCCATGGTAGGCCACCTTTCTGCAGAGATTCTCTTCCTCAAGCTGCTAAGAGTGCAACTCTGCATGCCCACAAGGCCACCTTTTCACTTGAGACACCCTTTTCACCCAACTTGTGATCTGATGCCCCACTCTTGGGCACCTTCTTGCCTGCAGGACTGGCCCCTCCTGTAGGGAGGCCTTTGCCAGCATGCTCAAACTGTAAGTCCAGTTTGTGACCACATCTGACAGCTTTGTCTCCAACACAATTGCCTTGCCAATCTTCCTCGGGTCCGAGCACTCGAAAATACACCATATGATGTGAATATGAGTGTGTCCTCTTCACTCGACTGGGCTCCACACCCATGTCTCCTTCCCTCCCTGCCTTTAGGTCCCAATTCTACACTATGCTGCCTTCTCACACACATGCTCTCCTCACAGTACAAGGCACATTGCACCCAGTACAAGGCTGCTTTCAGACGGTCCTTCCAGTTCTGCTTAGGCTCAGGTCTTCTGCACTGACCTATCTCTATCTGTCTATCTAGAACTACACTACCTTGGACTGTTAGGCTTGTGTAAGCTTTTAATTAGCAAGTGTGACTCTGCCAACTTTGTTTGTTTCAATAATTTCTGCTACTGAGGATATGATAGCACTATCTCAAACCTAGTAACTAAATTTGTTTTCCAAATCTCTTCACATCTTCTATTTATTATCACTATTTAAAACTTCCATGATGAAATGCTTTTCTGAAAGGTCAGTTTTCAGGGCTGGGGATGTAGCTCGGTGGCACTGTATTTGCCTTGGCTATTGAGTAAGGCCCAACGTTCAATGCCCCACATCACAAAAACTAAAAATGAAAAATATATAAATAAACTTCAAAGCTCTAATTTTCTTCCTTGTATTGGGGGACTCTTCATTGGTCTTTTTTTTTCCCCTTTCTATAAAAGACCCTTTACCAACATTTATTTAGCCATTCTGGGGCTGAACTCAGGGCCTTATACATACTTAGAAAAGCGCTCTAACATTGAGTGCTATACCCTCAGGCTGAATGCCCTTTTACTTTGAGTATTTGTATTGATTTGAGTCCAAGAAGTTTTCTGACCTTTTTCTGATTTCTATTTCTGCAAGAACTTATCTTAGTTTATCTTTTCTCTTACAAATGTATCTTTATTAGGCAGCAAACCTGGGTGAAATGTATATTATTTTTCTCCTTATTTCTCATCTTTAGCTCTACTTTATGATTTCTAAACTTTTTGGCCTGAATTTGTCATTGCTGCCCTTACATTTTGAATCTCAAAAAATATAATCCTTCTCCCACATCTATTTTTGTTTTACATATGCATGATTACATTTCTTTGAAGGTATTTTGTGTACTTGCACATTCTGACCATTCATGCTAGAGGCTTTCAACCTTGACTGTACACTTACATTTGAAAATGCAGTGCAAAAATACGCTCCTAAGAGCTCTGTGAATAAAGGCCATACTTTCACCCAAGCCATTTTATCAGAGAACTGCTTATTATGAATATATTTCTTTTTTGCCAGTTTTTCTACCTGGTGGGCTTGCCAGATTTCCCTATGAAGAATCTTCCAAACTTTTATGCAGAGTTCAAGAACCTGACCTTCCTTGTTTTGGAAGTTGGTGGGTTGGGGGAATATGCCATAGTAAGTATTTAAATTTTCAGTTTACTTCCATTTAATGTGCATCCTTCAACTATGTCTCACATCCCCTCAGTTCAGAATCAGTGGAGCTAAGATTCAGTTATTTGCAGACAGCTAAGTCTTTTAGTTTCCCAACTTCTAACACTTTGTTTCTATTATCTCCTATCCCTATGCTTTTCTTTTTAATTTTGTCTATGTACAGAAAACAAATGTTTTCTTCATCGTTTCTTCGGGGTTTCAAAAGATGAATGCAATGCCTTTCATCTACAAACTTTTTTCATTCCTCAACAACTGCCATCAATGCTGCTAATCTATCAATTTTAATCAGATACCGTTTAATTTATTTTAAAGATGATGAACTCTCTTAGCCAGGCATAATGATGCATGCCTATAATTCCATCACTCTGGAAGGCTGGGCCAGGAGAATTGCAAATTCACACCCAGCCTGAGCAACTTGGTGAGACCCTGTTTTAAAGTAAAAAAATAAAAATAAAAGGCTAGGGATGCAGCTCAGTGCAAAAGCCACACAACCACCAAAAAAGATATGCTCTCTCCAAGACATGTATCAGATTTGGAACTATATTCCAAAAGTATCTACCAATTTAAGGCAAGCTAAGTTAAACCTATTTATTTGTGCTAACACCTGTTAAGGATGCTCATAATCTAAAAGGTGAGACCTAGCCAAAGATTACTATGAGGCCACATGGGAAAGAAGTACATTTTAACTAGTGGAACCGGGAAAGTCTTAGTGGAGGAGACCATTTCAATGTCATTTTTAAAGAATAAACTAGAATTCCACAAATATATTAAAAAGAAGTATAATTTAAGACAGCACATGCAAAGACAAAGAACACTATCTGCTTCATTGGGTCTTTTCTATTTTGTTCCTTCAATAAATATACAGTGTATATATAACCCACAAGTCCTGAGTAATTACAACCGTTTCTTCAGTTTTAATATTTAATATGCAAATGACTCCAAAATCTAATTTTCTATCCATTTTGCAGAGCCAAATATTTACTTTCCTAGTGCACTGCTCCATGGTACCACATCAAACAATACCATTCATCATCTGAGCCCCCACCTCCAACACCTCTTCTGCCTTCTGCATCTTAATATATTAACATGCACAGAATAAACCCACCAGCAAGTCATTCTTAGACCATCTTCCAATTTTCTCCCTTAACTCCATTGTTTCCGAGTCCCACTCAATATATACTTTAGTGAGAAGCTAAATGAAGGCTTAGTGCTTTTCAGTTAGCTATTTTGTCACTAACTGAAATTTTAAAAATTAGAAGGCAAAATGCATAAGCTTAGACCAAAACTAACCTGAACTACTGTTTTCTCATCATTCTTTTTAGAAAAACATTAACTTTGTTATTACACAACTTTTACGGCTTTATGAAGGAAAATTATAATGTTAAATTAAGCAAGCTAAAAGGCACTACACAGTAAACCAAGCACAGGGATTAGTATTTTTTAAATTTGAATTTTCATTTGTTTAGTTGTAAGATTACATTTTATAAAAATGTAAATTCAAAATAATTTTATGTAAATAATTTTCTTAAATCTTACTTATGTGAAATATAGAGGAGGCATTAAGATGTAGCTACTAATGATCCCACAGTAATTATCCTCAGAGTTTGCTTGACTGCAGATATGGAGCAGAACAGCTCCCAAAAGTGACACATGGTGAAAAAGAGCATCACGTTCCAATAATCTGGAAGGCTCCTGCTTTGCATCATTCACATCACTATTACACAAACCAACCAGTTACTCTCAAGTCACACACTGGCTTTCATAAAAGCATTCTTGTGCTAGATTTCAAACTGTTTAAGAGTCACAGATATCTTACAACTCTGTAAACATGTACCATAGGTATGTATTAACAACTTTTAAAGAAAAAAGCCCCATAGTTATAAAAATTCCCCCTTGTCACTTATCTCATGCACATACTTTCCTCTGGGAAAAAGGAAAATGTTGATCAATTTACACAAATTGAATAAAATTACTAGTGACATAGATCATGAGAATACTAATTTCCTAACCCAAATTACTTCTGGAATATTATATTACCTAATAAGAATACCACAATTCTTGCCCCTAAGAGGGGAAGAACTGAAAAAGAAAAGCCTAGGGTCTGTCGTGGTGGTGCACATCTGTAATCTTAGCACTTGGGAGGCTGAGGAAGGAGGATTGTTGTGAGTTCGAGACCAGCCTGGGTTACAAAGTGGGCTCAAGGCCAGCTGAACTGCCCAGACAGACCCGGTCTCCAAAAAAAAAAGGATGGGAATCAGTATGATCTTGCATTCCTGGTCACAAGATCAAGAACTGGGAAATACTAATGTAAAGAATTTAAACACATTTAATTTTAACAAGTTCTGGAAATAAATAAAACTGCTACACACTGTCTAAAATGTTAACGCAGGTGCAAATTTTACAAAGATATTTCACCTTTTTTTAAGGTACTTTTTTGGGGAAGGAGGGATGAATAAAAGTTTATTTCACAAGTAAAAGTGAAGAATGAAGAAAAAGCTGAGTGAGGTGAGCAGAGTAAAAGAGGAAAAAGCAAGCACAGTACACCCTGGAGGATGCAGGACCAGCTACAGTGAGAAAAGTCGCAACAGCCTAAGGTACTCTGCAGGAATCCAACTTGAGTGCCAACAACATGCTAGGCACTGCAGAGATAGCCCTCACCTAAAGGTACTCAAATCTCACAGAATGGAAGTAAGTCAACAATTACAGTCAACATTAGAGGCGTGGATTAATGCAATGAGGTCACAGAAGAAATGCTAGGCCTGCCTAGTGGTTCGTATGGACTATATAATCAAGGTGATCAGTTTTTAGGCAAAAGAATAAAAAAGAAGTTAATGTTGACATCACAGCAGCAATATATGCAGAGAACATATGAGGGACAGGGCATACCTGCAGAGTCTAAAAAAAGTAAGACACAGGACATGGTGAAGTTCTACAATATACTCTTTTCAGTCTAAAAAATTTACGAAGGAGAGTCTAAAATATTCTGTATGTCTTTGGAGTAAACATTCCAAGGTCCAAGGAAACTGACTTGAATAAAATTTTAGAATAAACCGAACACTATGTATATTCTGGATGGGAAAGAAGGAAAAAAAGAGTAAGAGCAAAATGGACAATTACCTCCTTTTGTAGTATCATTCTGGGCCTGGATGCCATGATGCAATGAATTATGAATGGCAGAAAGAAGATCTGCTGCTTGAACCATCAATTTTTGAGCTTCTGCAACAGCACTGGTCTAGCAAATAAATCACCAAAAACATTCTTACATATTCTTTCACTGAAAGATATACATTAAATAGGAAAATCCTATAAACAATAATGAAATTAAATGCTTGCTGTAACGATACTGGTTTTCACAAATTATTCACTTAATGCAGGATGCCCAGATTCTGTTAGGATAAAAACAAATGTTTTTTTTCCTTCATATCAATGTACTATGGGACCCACTAAAAGATCTGAAATCTGATTTACTATATTAATCTTATTTTTAAAATTAAAGTCCAGAGACAGCTGAAAAACGAAAATTTCAACAATTCTACAATATTTATCATTAAAATAGTGAAGGAAAAATTATACAAATCAGACCCATAATAAAGGCTATATCTTTACTCACCATTTATTCACAAACTAATCTAATTAACTGTGTTGAAATGACACAGAAGAAAAAATACTGACCACCAAGGGCTTGCTTTTGGTTTTCTACAGATCTAACAATTAATATTTAACTGAAAGGAAAGAATACGCCTACCTAAAATTTCCATTTTTAATTTAACCTTTTCAATCCACAACATAAGACAACTTACAAGCAATTTCTGCTTATATTATACTATTTACTAACAAGTAATATGAAACATTATTTTTATATCAACAGAAATAGGTTCTGGAATACAATGTAAAATTCATGTAACTTCTCCAAAAAGTCATTATGGTTACTCTGGTCCAAATATATCAATGCCAAGTGCTACACAAATCTGATATCAGGAGCATGTAAACAGAGAAATCTCAGAATTGCTTCAGTAAGGCATTCTATTCAAAACCCACTAAAATAAGACATAAATATATATGACAATAAATTCCCTTACCTCTTTCTTGGTAAAGGCTATAAGCACAGTCAGTAATACACGAGTAAATTTCACTCTGCTGAACACTGCTAAACACTGTTGGTGCTAAAAAAAAAAAAAAAAAAAAAAAAAAAAAGGAAAGGACTACAAATTAAAACATGCAGAGCCTGTCAAGAAAATGTCATTTTAAAATATTTTAACTTCTAAATCTCAATGTTAATAACTTACTATAGTACACACACCTTCACTTACAAGCTTTTACATGCTGAAAAATGAGCTGCAGAAAAATTATCAAACAAAGCCTTTTCTTTTGAAATAAAAGTAATGTTACTTAGCAACAGGAAGGATTTTTTCTTAAATTATGCTATTATCTCCAAACTAATTAGCATTTTTTAAAAAAAGGATTTAAAGTGCTATTAGCAGATCAGAGAATTTAGAATTTCAACGAAGATTCAGCAGCTTTTGGTAATGTGGACATTCTTGAGCTTTTCCAAGCTTTGATGCATCATTTGTCAAAGATCATTTTTTCTTCCTACCTCATAGGGATATGGGAAGAGTTCTGAATCATGTATTTGAAAGACCTGTATTAGCATTCTATCAAAATGAATACAAGGGAAATAAAGTCCCTTGCAATGTCCAATTTTTAAAGAAATACCTTAAAAAGGGCTTCCATAAATTATAACGCAGTTCATAAAACTACAACATTAAGAGGTAGACTTCTCTGATATAATCTACCAGAAAATAAGTTCAATTACTTCTAGTTCAACTTCTGGATCTCTTTCTTCTCCTTGTCGACTTCGAGTACTCTAAAATTTTAAAAAAGGGAAATTAAAACAAATACAAGCCTGGAGAAGTATTGGATTATAAACACACAAAGTAAAGAAAGCACTAACTTAGTTTGTAAATATAGACAAGGATCTGTTTTAGGAAAAATACAGGGAAAAAAGAAAGCTATGTCCCATATTCTTTTCCCTGCTATTAATACTATTTATAGAAAGCTTATTTTAAAATAAAGATCACAAAAATAATCAGGAATTCACACAGCAAAAGCAAAACAATAAAATAACATAAGCAAAAGCATATGACATATAGTTCTAGTTTCCTATAAAGAGATCTATGTTATAATCACTGATACTCTCAAAATTAACCATCTTAGAAAAAAATCAGCAGCCTTTAAAAGGCACAGCAGAAATACAAAAGACTCATAGTTAATACTACTGTTTTGTACACTAAAATGAAATATATCTTAATACAACAGTTATAGCTGCTTCACTTGCCAAAATTTCAAAGCACCGGCACAGGATAATCTGGTAGCAGATGTGGGTTCTGGTCCTAAAGCTCCTACACTCCCCAGGTATATACCTTTAAGACAGACTGGCGCAGCTTCACTTTTTTTGAACTACATTTTCCTCTACCAAAAGTGGGGCAGTGTATGTGTTGTGTTTGCAGTACTGGAGACAGAGTCCAGGGCCTTCACACTAGGCTATATTCTAGCCCTTTTATTTTTATTTTAAGACAGTCTCACTGAGTCAGTAAGTTGTCCAGGATGGTCGTCAACTTGTAATCCTCCTGCTTCACCTCTCAGAGTGCTGGGATTACAGGCCTGTGCCACCACACCTGGCGGTATGCATTTAATTGCCTAATTCGCTTAATAACAGTAAAAAATTTAAAACAATAGTAACATTTTAAGTGTTATTTTACACTTATACTGCCATATTTAAGTGCAAAGTAACAGCAGAAATATAACATCTTTCCTGTCTTAATTTCTATGAGAAGGGAATCACCAGGGTCAACACAGCTGAAGGGTGTCAGCACGGCCTTCAATGACCAGTGACATCACCAGATGCTCAGCTCCCCACCATACAGCAGCCCTAACGCTGCATTCACTCCTACCTCTACACAGGTGAAGAGGACAGTCCTTACCTGTGAGCAACTTAAAACTCTAAAACTCTAGTGGAGAAAAATATGTTCTTACAATAGCCTACTAAAAGTCAAAAACATTGACAAAAAACTGAAATAAATGAGTTAATTTTCAATACTTGAAAATGACTAACTTATCAAAAACAGTTTTCAGATTCACTAACAAACAGCTACACATAAAAGAGACATATGGTTCTACCTATTCTAACTTGTGTATGTGTGTGTGTGGTGTTAGGGATTGAACCCAGAGCCTTGTACGTGCAAGGCCAAGAGTTCTACCACTGAGCCACATCCTCAGCCCTATACTAGCTAATTTTAATTAAACTGACATTTAGGAACATAACAGCCCTACATCAATGTGCAGAGAAGACATATATACCTTTACTCTTCTTTGCATGTCATCCTCCACATCCTTTAGCATGCCTAGAAAGAGAAACAATTACCTTTAAAAAGGAAACAAAATGCAAAACTTGTAAACTATCTTTATAAATGGTTTTACCTGTAACTCGAAGATCTGTCACACTGTTAGCCATTTTAAATCCGTAAGTCATTGACTGAAAATCTTCCTAAACAAAAACAAGGATAATTAGACCCTTGAATAGTAGCAAAATCTTCATATTTCTCTCACAAAATCATATTTAATAATAGGAGCACAGAAATGGAACGTCACTCAGCTTGCCCTAACATCAATATCACATCTCGACACTTTCTTTATAGGAATATACTTAAAACCCCAGTGCTGTCTCTGCTCTTAATTTCAACTGCCTGTCCTTAGGCAATTTAAGCATATCTTCATTTAATATGTTCATTTTAAAAATAAGGTTAGTACTTATAAAAGTATCACAAAACAGTAATTCCCACTTATAAAGTGTTCCCACATTCTTTAGTGAGCATATGTAGGTAATTACTGCTTGATGATAGGGCTGCAAGATTTTGAGAATTCTTACTTTTAAAAATAGTATCTGTTATACCCTGTTAAACTGCAAAAGCTAAGCCTTCTCAAAAAGACTTACTCAAAATGATAGGAAACCCACTGTCTACAGCCCAAGGTAAAGAAAAGATTATTCACATACAGATCCCCAGTCCCAAAATCGTATTTTAAATGAATTCATTGTTGAGTCATAAATTAAGTCATTTGCTAGACTCACTCTACCAAAAAAAAAATGTAGTATTTGTTTTCATAAAGAAGTCAAGTTTCTGGCATATTATAATTCCTACAAAAATGTAGAGAGAAACAACAAAATAGAGTAATAGGTAGTTACAGAAGTGGTCAGAATTACAACAAAATTTCTAGATTCTTAACGAAACAGTGAGCATCATATTCATGCTAAGTACTATATCTCACAAAAAGAACAATAACAAAACACCACAATATTCTTGGTCTTAAGGAACTCATCGGCATTATGTATTATATGACTCACATGACTGAGTCTTTAAAATCACAAGTGATGTTATAGAGCTATAAGCTTATCCTCTAAAGGAAGTTTGTACTTTATGTCTACTTAGACTTGAAAGAAAGAGGATCCCAAAGTTTTATATCCCCAAAGGGAGACCACAGTAGGTCTCTGGAAGTGATACAGCCTGACTCACTTTTAAAAAATCCATCTGCCTCTGGTGGTGCATAGATTACAGGAGGAACAAGTGTGGGTGGAGGACCTGTCCAGAGGTGACTTCGGGAGTGAGAGCTGGTGGTGCCCTAAACTAGAAAGAGCTGCAAAAGGGTGAGGAGTGGTGTACCATACACTTTCAAGATGGAGCCCACAGTATTTTCTGAGCAATGTGACGTGAATGCGGGAAATTGAGTGGAGGGTCGTATGATAAATGCTAGGAAACTGGACACTAAGGGGGCCCTTTGGGATGTACAACTTTAGGATATAGTACTTACCATGAATTTGATGCTCACTGTTTTAGTTAAGAACTGAGAAATTTTGTTGTAGTTCTGACCACTTCTGTTCTCCCTCTCCAGACTAGCTGCCAACCACTCCTCATGTTACCTGCATTACAGTTACTCCATCTTATTATGTACACACCACATATCTTCCCTCCTCAAGACTTTTGTATATGCTGACCTTACCCCAAAATATTTTTTTTCAAAACATTTGCAAGGACCTAGCTCTTACTATATTCCAGCATGTGTTCTAATGTGAATTTTTCATCTAGATTTTCTCTATGCAACCTCTAAAGCAGTTTATATCCCCTTAGCCTAATGTTTCTCTTCTTCATGAAACTTAGCAACCCCTGACATTCTACATGCATATGTTTGCCTATGCACTGACTATTTTATACCAAGAAATGTGTGATCCAAGAGGCCAGGGCTTTGTTTTACCCACTGCTTTATCTTTGGGGCTTAGAGCAGTGCTGGGCACAAAGTACCTAAATGTTCAGTAAATGTATGTACACATGACAACTGCAGGGCAGAGGAAGAATACAGAAGGCAGGGCACCTTTCTACATGCACCAGCTAGCTACAAGACACACTCAAGTATACTGGAGGCAGTGGCAAACGGGGAACATGTGCTTTGTTACACTATTGCAGCCACAGTGAATACACACACAGTCAGTGTGCATTTCCCCTAGTTCTCCAGAAGAAAAATCTATGTATTTAAAAACAGGTAAAATCCAATTTTGAAAAACTTAAGGCCCACATGGTATGGAAAAAAACAACAAAAGCCTAAGTTTTATCTGTCAGCTGTTGGCATGCCAAGCAGAGTCTAAGAAAATCCTTCTGGTGTACTATCACAGGTTCTGTGTAACAAACACAAACCTTAAATTGGGTGTGCTGACACATACATGCAATCCTAGTGCTCAGGAGAGGCTGAGGCAAGAGGAGCACACATTCGTGGCTGAACCTGGGTATACAGCAAGGTTCTTTTTCCAAGGGAAAAGAAACTCAGTAACAAGAATTCAGTGTAAGTCACTGGAAGATTGAGAGCAGGAGAGTCATGAAAATAGACTGGTGCCATGGAAAGATTGCTCTGGAAGCTGTGTGGATAATCATCAGTAAAGACCAGATACTGACTCTATGGAGTAAACAGACCAAGCAAGAAATGACAGTGACTTGGGTTGTGACTGTATAACACTGGGAATTAGGAAGTTATTGAAATCAGGATACATTTAGAAAGTACAAATGAACATGAGAACAAGGTTAAGTATTTATAGTTTTGTTTTGCTTCATTTTTGGGAGACAGGTCTTGCTATGTTTCAGTCTGGTCTTGAATTCACTATGTAGCCCAAGCTGACCTCAAACTCATGATCTGCCTGCTTCAGCTTCCCAGAGTGCTGAGATGACAGGTTAGTGTAACACCATAACTGGCTCATCTTTAGGTTCCAAGTTCTTGAGATGGAGCAGACTTTGCTCCATCTTTAAGGGCAGAAATGGTTTATAATTTTGTCTGTGTTTGTTCTTTTCACTTTTCCTTTCCTTACCAGTTTTTTTTTTTGGTACCAGGAACCAAACTCAGGACTGTGTGTTGGCCAAGCAGGTGCTTGTGCCACTGAGCTATATCCCCAGCTGGCTTATAATTTTGGTTATGTTAAGTTTACAACTTCTTCATTCATCCAAGTGAGTATCTCAAAGAGAGCATCTGCTTCACTTTAGAAGGCAGAGAAGGAATCAGGACTAAAGATGTATTTGGACTTCATCAGTGTACAGTTGGTATTAAAGCAAAGCTCTCGAGAAAATAAACAGCGTATAAGAGAAGCAGAGGGAACCCCAAGGAAATGGAACAACTAGTGATGTGGAAATAAAGTTACAATTATAGTATCAAGAAAAAGTACTTCAAAATAGTGGTCAAGTATGTCTAACGATGCACAGAAGGTTATCGAGAGAATATTGGAAACAGGATTTAGTCAGATAAAGATAAGCTCTCTGTAGAGGTGGTAAAGAATGACCATTTTGGAGCTCATTCGAAGAGCTTTAACTATATGGATATGAGGAGCCCTGGGATCAAAAGAAGTGAGATGTTCAGTTTAAGAATGACTGATATTAAGACAAGTTATATGCCACTAAGAATAATACAGCAGTGAAGAAGAGACCTGTAATGCAATACAAGGAAGGTTTATTAACCACAACAGAGAAGAGATGGAATCTAGGATACAAGTGAAGGGGCTGAGTTGAATTGTTTTAGTAATACTTGATTTTAAAATGGGACAAAGACCAAATACATAGACACGGATACACAAAAGCACTTGTGGTTGCGAATATTTCAATACAGTAGGAAGCAAGGTGATGATGAGGAGACTAGCACTGGAAGTCTGAGAAATAAGACAGGGGAAAGTCAGTATAAAGACTAAGAAAAGCAAACACATTGCAGAAGTGTCAGCCAAGATCATCTCCATCTGAGATTTGCAGCCTTAAAGTGAGAACACATACACAGATGTGAGTTTTCTCTAGTAGCTCCTGCTGCTTGCGAACAAGCAAGGAGTAGGCAGATGGTTGCGGTTTTGTCAGATAAGAGACAGAAAAGATGAGAGGGATAAGAAAGCTAAGGGTATATGAGTGATTTCAGCTACTGACCACGGCAATAAGGGTGTAAGGAAAGTAACCGTAATACAGTGGCATCATCTATGAATTGGAGTTCATAATAATAGAAAAAACTGGGAAAAGTACACAAAAACTTAAGCAAATACAGAACAGACATTTGTCACCTTGAAAAAAAAAAACACTTTTATATGAGTGGAAGTACAAGCACACACTACTTTGACTCATCTGCCATTCATATTTACATAATCTTTGCAATTTCAGCACTGATTAAACCAAAAACTGCATTACTATTTGGGGAAAGGAGGTAATGCATGAATTCTAAATTATATACCATTGCTAAAATTGTGAAGTATTTAAATCATAAATAAAAACATAAATTTCTTATGCAGAAGTATGGGAAAATATTAAGAGAAAGCTAAAATGGGAATAGTAATGAAATCAGAATGGAAGGGCAAAGAACTATTTTTCTTTATATGTCTTGTACTTTTTGATTTTTAAAACTATGTGCAAGTACTCTTATTACTTCTGTTAAAACATACATGCAAGTGAAATAAATTGGACACGTGTAAATACCACATTGTTTCCCTGGTGAAAAAGAAAAGGAGTAAAAAATGAAAACAAAGCTTTTGTAAAAGGGGAGAGTAAGAGGAGTTGAAGGGAGGGTAGGGAAATGGGAAAAAAGAATCAAATTTTATCATGTATAGGTACAAAATCTCTATGATGAATGTGATCATTATGTACTAATAAAATCTTGTATAAAAAAAATGCACACCTTAGTAAGAATTTTCAAGTAACAAAACTAAATATGACCAGATTACTACTTTTAGGAAAATAACTGTTGAGCATATGAAGAATGGACCAGAGAAAAAGCGGGCCGGAGAAAAGATTCAGAAAATCTCACAGGAACCTAATCCTAAAGCAAGGCACGAACTAAATCAAAGACAAAATCAGAGAAAAGAGGAAACAGAGCCCAGATTCAAGATTTTTGCAAATTACACGAATTTACACATAGGGGTAAGAGAAATAAGCAATCAAAGATACCAATGAAGATGTCATTTTGCAAGATAATCAAGAGGAGAAGCAG